CATTGATTTCGGAGATTAAACAAAACAGAGTATTCATAAATATCATAAGAATCATAAAATTTAATAGAAATAAAGATTTAATCGTCTATTTATTTAATGAGCAAATAATGCCAAAAAGTAAGCTTATGTAATATTTCAAACTCTTTTGAAATTTTAATATTAGTAAAATCTGATGTAATAGAAGGAAATTTATAACTATAAGTGGTAATTACAATTTTATTATTATTAGAAGATATTTTATAGTTCAACTAAAAGGGCGATAAATTAGGATTAGAGAATTGTTTATTTTCAAAATTTGGTGATATTCTCAAAAATTAATAAGTAAACTAATCATCAATTTTATGAATTTGTTTGATTTTATACCAACCAGAAAATGTAAATGAATTAATGTTTATGTTTTAAGAGAGGAATAACTTCGTATCCAACCAAGTTATGTCTTGATCTAATAGTGAATATTAGCTATTTTCTTTGCACTGTTATTCAGATATTGTATCAAAAAATAATACATATACTGCTTTTCCCAATATTTAAGAATCTAATTTTGTAACTATACTCTGACTTAATTTTAGTAATTTCATTTGCCCTGGAAAATATGAAAATTTTGATCCAACATCTATAGATTCTATGTTTGAATTTTGTACAAAAAGACCGCTTCCAACTGTTAAGATTAGATTTTCTGTTTTGATAATATTCACATCTAACACTTTATGCAATAGAAATTGATCTTCTTTGACCATGATTACTTCAAGTTTATTAGTGGATGGCATATAAAGTAATTCAAATAAATACCAAACATTCTCATACTCAAATGGATCAATCTCCACTTTATGGACATCTTAGAATCCATCAGCAGTATTGTAGGCTAGAATCCTCTGAATTGATTAGCTTTCAGGGTAAAGGCAATCATAATATAATATTTCTAATTATTCGGAAGATTCCCTCATAAAGTTCATGTAATGGAAACAGTTGCTATCCATCATTCCAATAATTCCTCCTGATGATATCTTATTTAAGGGATTATACTTAGTCCAAATTCCAAAAACCAACCCAAAAGTGTTTGTACTTTCTTCGTTTAGTGCTAAGATTCTTTCTTTTGTTTAAAAGAAAGAATCGATTGAGAAGAGATATTACGAGTAAATTGTCTCTAAAAATGAAAGGAAAGGTAAAATGTAAAATTGTTTCATATATATTAATGACATTTTTAAGTTTTTTATATTGATTTGAATAAAAAATATTCAATATTAAATGTCATCTGTCTGAACTGCTTTGTTTATTGATAAATTAATTTGAGGAAATTTAAAATTAATTTCAATTGTATGCTTGCAAAAATGTCAAAACAATTAAGGATACATATAAATTTACTAAATTGTCTAATTACAAAGATAAAATAATGCGATACCTGTTTTTGGGATTATTGAATAATTTTTTAGCGATAAAGTGATATGGATAATGGATCAATCTGGTTCGTAAAAATTATGAGTTTTTTTTCTAATAATTCATTATTAAGTCATGTAGCTATAGAGCCAAAGCTTAGAAGGATAATAAGAAATCAGAATTAAGTTTAAAAGCTCGTGGACATTTATGTTTAAATTATTAGGATTTGCTGAAGGTTTTGGAAGTGTTTGGAGATTTCAATATCATAAATATTGATTATAATAGCCAACTAGTTTTATTCAATACTGCAGGAGGAACATTTTTAATAACTACTTTATCTTGAATTTTCTTTGGCTATTCCATTTTCTTTTAGAAGTTAGTTTCGGATAATGTAAAGGAATTAGAATGCCTCCTTTATTAGAATTAGAAAACTTAAATTAAAAGAAATTGGGTATCTTGGAATTAGAATCTAATTATGGCATATTCTTTAAGATATTTGTGAGAAGCATTCAAGTACCCAGATCCATGGTTGGAGAGCGTAATTGATAAAATAAACCCTTTTAAAGTGAAGAAACTTTTGCTAATCAATTGTTTAGATTTTCCGCATCCATAACTGATTTAAGCTATTCAAGTTAAAATACAATAGATCGCATAATTTGGGTCTTCTTTTTGTTTATATAGTATTATTAATAATAGGATACTTTTGTCTAAAGTAATTATTTATATTTTCATAATTAGAGAAGAAATTGTAACATCTGGAAAGTGGCAATAGTAACAGCAGCTTTTCCTTATATATTATTTGAGGTTCATGTGAAGGAATTTAATATTTCTTTAAACCAAACTTTTTTAAATATTTATCACTCCGTTTTTGGGTTGATGCTGTTAATTAGGTAATATTTCAAATGAATTTTGGTTTGGCAAATCTATGCTTATATGACAGCTATGAGGAGGTAGATTCAGAAATATTTGAGGAAAAAGAGGTAGGAATTGAATGATCATAAATGGTTATGAATAGATTTTGTATTAAAGAGAATAAGTTATTTTTTTATTATATTTTTGATTTCTCTTAAATCTTAGAATGATCCTAACAATTATACCATAAAGGACATGTAAATACACTGTTCTGAAGACTTATTTTCTCTATTTTTACAGCGATTATGTCTTTGAGCGAGAAAAAAAATGGTTCTGCTAAGAAAAGGCAGAATATGAAGATGTTGATATTGTTAAGTGTTAAGCTGATAGAATGCTGACCTAATTGTATCTCGCGGTATTAAATGAAATTAGTGAAGGACAACAAATCCAGTAATTTCTATTAGTTCAATATTTCAGATATACCTCTCTGGTTTTATTTCTTACATCGATCATTTTATGTATTTGGTGATTAAGGAATACTAAATTCAAAGTAGGAGAAGATAATGAATGTTTTTGAGGAATCACAAAAGCTTTCCTTCTGGTAAAATATAACGAGCCAAAAATTGTAATGAAAGTTAAGTTTAGAACAAATATATGGCCCATGTAATCCAATTAGCTATATTCTTTTAAATTTTCAAAATTAGAAATTTATTGTTTTTAATTTTATTAAAAATCTTGTTCTCGGATATCAATACAACATGCTTAACGAAATGTAAGTCAAACATTGTTTTATAATAAGTCTTTGATAATTATAATCTGCTCTTATAATAAAGCAAATATTAGTAAAAGATCATTAAAATTTTAAAATAAATTCAGACCCTACATAGTTTATGATGAAAGGTTTTTTTCGGATTAAATCAATAAATATCCTTCTTAACAAAAATAGTTGTTTAAATAATAACTAATAATTTTAAAACCTTGAATTAAGATTTGTATTAATTAAATTATGATTATGATTAAATAAGTAGAGACTTCTAGTTGTTCTATTTGAAATAAAAGTATGATATCGTACAAACAATAGAAGGGACATAAGAGCATTATGGTTCTCTATGGCATTTCAATTCTAACAAATTCTTAAAATTGAAATTCTAAACTACTTAAGAAAATGGTAAGGTAATATATAAAAGAAGATGAATAAATATTAAGAGTGTAAAGGAATAAAATTATGAAATTTTAGAGAATCTAGACTACATTTAACATCTTTAATGGACAGGAGAAGATGTTGGAGAAATGGTATTTTGAAGGGAAGAAATAAGAGATTTGGAAAGAGTCGATTAATAATTACAGAATGTATATTATATTCATTAATACTAACAGAAGGGCTTAAGTATTTTAAAGTGGCGAATACTTGAATAACTAGAGTAAGGGATATTGGAAATTTATATTTGAAGATGATGAAATGTAACATATAATTTATTATGATATTGTTATTTAGTGGAGGTGGATATTACAATGAATATGGTTTGAAATCTGGTAAAAGTTTATATCAGTAATCAAAATAATTAAAATTAATTAAAGCTAAAGCTAAATCACTTATGAAGGTGAATACTAAAATGGCGTTTTGAGAATCAATTGTCGCGAAATAGAAGCGAAACCAAAATACAAATGTAGAGAAAATATATAATAAATATAAAGTGGCGGAGGTATGTATGTTGGGAAAGGCTTAAAATAGGGAAATTGGGTTGAGGTAAATGTTCATTTTAGTAGGTATGAATCTATTAGAAATTATAATTTTAGAGGAAGTTAAATTAAATTTAGTAGGCCTTATCTGAATGGCCAAAAATTTGGTCAACCGGATATATATTGTAGATATGATCAAAATAGACTTTTTGAGTTGATGTAAAAAGCTTCAAGATATATTAATACTAGAGTTGGAGGATTTTTTACTTAATAAGACAAAAAATTGATTATTGGATTGAAATTGCAGAAAATTATTATAGTAAACATGAATTTTAACATTACTGAAATAGGGATGTATAATTTATTTTTAAAGGAAATTACAAGGAAGGAAAGAAATAGAGAAATGGGAGATCGGATATAGAAAACAATATTAAGATAAAATTCTTGCAATTTAAATTCAATAATTAAATATCTAAGATGGGAGATAATGAAGGGGAAAAATTTTTGCATGGTAAGAACCAACCGAAAATTGTCATTTGTATAATTTATACATACATTGCGATTAATAGTTAAGTATTTGCCTTTTATGAAGGGAAATATAGCTTGGGGAAAAAATTGTTAGGTGGAATATTGAAACAACGTAAGATTTAATAATGTAAATGAAAACATTATTTAATTTAGTTCTGGCGGTGGATTTTGTGACTAGCAAGGTAGAAATACCTGAAGACTATTTAAAGTAATTATATTTTTGATAAATAGATAAAATTAGTTTGAATTTAAGGAGAATATGAATAAGTAAGAAAAATTGGAACTTGGAATATAAAATAAAATGATGTCATGTTAGTTTAATAATTAAATTTTTATAATTACTTTCAATATTGGTGATTGCTATGATGAATAAAATTTGAAGAATGGATTATGGATAGACTTGGATGATAAATTTTCCAAGTAACCTAATAAAAATGTAATTGACATTAGTCACCACTAAGTTATTCATAGAGGTCAATAAAAAATGGAAGGAAAATAGGTTAATGGGATATTTTTGGATTGAAGGATATGATAATTATTTGATTATGTAAAATTGATTTTAATTTTAATAAATCAAAAGAAGGGGAGGATAATTTGATGAAAGAAGTTTAAAAAATGGAAGATGGGTTGAGTTAGATATCAATCATAGTTGGTACATTTTAGAATTGATTTGAATTTCAGTGATAATTAGCTCAAATATGAATGTGAATATAAAGGTGGGATTAAAGTAGGTAGATGCGATGTCTCATATAGAATTTCTAATGACGAAACATTCGAGTTGATGTAAGAAGATTGATATTAATAACATTTCGTGGTGGAGGAGAATATGACAACCAAGGGATAAAGGTGGGTAAATTGACTACTTTAGCTTTAACCTTCTTAGAGTAAATTATTATCATTTATTCTTTCATTAAGTTTTTTCTAAGTGGTTGAGTAGAGAGAAATAAAAAATGGCTAAAAAGTTGGTAGATGGACAAATCATTATAGAGCTGGTTGCAATTAAAACTTTGAAGAAAATGTATATAATTCTTAGCTTAAGATATTTTTAGAGGAGGAGGGCATTATAATGAGCAGGGAAAGAAGGATGTAAGATGGACAGACATGTGTGAATCTCTTCCGATAAAACACCCATAAACCATATTTTGTGGAGAATACTAAAGGGGGGAAAAAATTGGCCTTCTGGGAATATATGGAATAATAAAAAATTGGAAATACAGTGATAATGAAGTATGGTCTTGAACAAAAGTATGAGTATTATTTTGAGATTAAAATTACATAATTTCAAAAAACAAAAATTATTTTTCTTTATTAACAATATTTTATATAAACAAAATATAAAAAATACCTAGGCTTGATTAAAAGTATGGAAATACATATTTTATTTTTGAACAAAAAAAATAATGGTAGTGGTAGTTGTGCAAACTTTTTCTTATAAAATTCTCTAATATAAGATCAAAAGAAGATAAATAAAATTATATATCAAATATAAGTTTCTAAAATTTCTTTGAGGCTTTCTTTATTAATTGGTTTTTCCAAATAATTTTGCATTCCAGCAGATTAAGCCTCATATTTTGTCTACATATCACTGAATGCTGAACATGCTACAATTATAATATTAGGATTATAAATTTTAATTCTTCTTGTAGTTTCTAATCCTCCCATCTATGGCATATTTATATCCATTAAAATTAATCGATATTAACAATGCTAATTATTTCTCATTTAAACTAGATTGATTGCTTACATTCCACTATTAGCTAAATCAGTTTCATATCCTAGCATCTTAATCATGATTTTTAATGGAAACAAGTTTGCTGGTTCGTCGTCCACAAGTAGTAATTTACAACATTGGCATTCATCCGATTGATGATTGGGTTTTGGGTCATCCTCAATTTTATCGCTCTCTTCCTATATTACAATTGCATTATCTTCTTAAACATCAGCAGGAAAGAACGCTTAATTTGAGGTTCTAGTATATGAACGTTTTTTGGGACTCACTCTTTTGAATTAAGATGGGCAGCTTTTTGAGTTTGATAAACTTGGCGGCGGTGGAATATTATTGGTTTTTTAATGAAGAAACACTTTTTTTTCTAAGATTTGTATTGAGTTATTTTCGAATTAACTAGATGGAGACTCCAACAGATTGTATTTCCATACATAAAACCAAAAATTACTACCTTCTCCCTACTTTGAACTAAATTATAAGAATTCCTTATTGGCCTATTTGAAGGATGACAATTCTTTAGTTAAGTAATTTGAATTTAACAATCCTAAGCCCAAACCTGCAGTTCCTTCTGAAATCTTGGAAGTTAAAATCAAATCGTTACTGAGCATTTATTTTATATTCTAGGATACACCCTCACTGATTCCTATACCTGAATCGAGAACCGAAAACTTAATTCTTTTTTCATCGTATTTTTCAGCAGTCACATATACTGCGCCATCTTAATTAGTATATTTGATAGCATTTTATATTAAGTTCTACAATATCTACTTTATCCTCTGTTCATCTTATTTAAACCCTATTTTCACTTTATTAATCATGAACATAGATATTTGCTTTGCAATTGCTTACTATTTGAATAAGTGATGTAATTCATTAAATAATCCATCAATGTTAACATCAACAATTTCTAATTAAAATGTTTTACTCCTCAGTTAGTGAAAGTCTTTTAAGTCTTTAACCATATTATTCATAATAACACAACAATTGTAAATTAAATCAAACTGTTCTTTCATGTTTGGATTTTAGATTTAACCATTTTAAGAAATTAGAGCAATTTAATTTAACAAAGTCCCGAATTCGTGACTAAATGATTAAAATAGTTTATTCATTAAGGCGAAACATGAATTCTTTTTGACGTATTTAGCGAATTCTTTTACATCTTCTAATTGCAGTGTAATGCCTTCTTTCGAAAAACGCACCTTAATTTAATAATACTCTAATTTAAGAATATTTGTTTTTATAATTAAAATGTCATCAGTTTTTTGAAGAATTAAGCATTTGTCAATCAATTAACGAAATGATATTCCTTTGATCTTCTAGTTTAGATTACGCTAGGTCTATTTATCTACTTTCAAGATATTAATTGAGTCCAATAAATTGAATTCTGAAATTTAGTCAGAAAATAATAAGTCCTTTAGAGAATTTGAAATATATTTAATGTCTAAGATTTAATTTTCGAGTATAATTGTATTTTAAGGATGTTAAGGCAATTCATCTACTGATAAGCTAGATTTAACTGAATTTTATTGGTTCAAAGGTAAAAACTCTATTCCACTGGATTGTTTTTTCAATGTGGGTAATTTGATAGCCCAATAAAAGTATGTTACAGATATAACAGTGAAAACACTCATTAAGTATGATTGGATTTCATTATTTTATGAATAAAAACAAATTATGGCTACTTGGACTAAGATAATTTCCTAATACTACTTAAGCAAGTGAGGATATTTACAACCCATCTCTTTTGATCGTTTTATAAAAATAGTGCAAATCCCACAAAGGTTTGGAGCAACAAAAATTAATCACTTTATTTCGCAACTACACTAATGACATTGATTGCTAATTGTGCATAGATATTTAAGTTTCTATTTCTTGCCAATAGCATAATTTATAATAAACTAATGCATATACATACGATTAACAATATCAAACTAGATATTGAAGCTCTTCTACATTCTATGATCGCGTAAACAATCTAAAGAATATACAACCCTTATGTTGCTGAGGTTTTATGATTAATCATAATTAAATATAATCACATTATTATCAAAATTTTTTGCTCCCCGTTAAGGAAGGATATTCATACTTTCTGCATAATTTAATTATTGAAAAATAATTCAATGACACAAATTAATTAAAAAACTAACATTCATTCCACAAATTTGGGGAAACACAAAAGAAATTTGTAGAAAAAATTTTCAAATATCAGAATTTGACTTTACTCAAATTAAATGCTACCTAGTTAATGTTGCAAAGTGTAGTAAATAAGAATAATGAGTTAAGAGTATCATTGTTAAAATTAAATAAGTATTTTTTATAATTCTATTACATTCACTGGTTTATTCAAGAAGTAGCTCATCCCTATATCGTAACAACGTTATTTTGTATCACTGTCTGTATATGCAGTGCAGGCAATTATTTTGAATTGATTTCCATAAAGAGATATTAAATTTCTACTTGTTTCATATCCATTCATCAAAGGCATATTAATGTCCATAAATATCCCTGAATAAGCATATCTGTTTTCTTGCACTTTTCTCAAACATTCAATCCCATTAAAAACATAGTCAGTCTCAATATTCATTCTCTTTAATATGAGTTATAATCCTATGATATTGATCATTTCATCATCCACAATTAGAAATTTCATAGTTTGCTTAATGTTTCTATTTAAAGTCGTAGTCCTTGTCTTCCTTTCAATTGAATTGACTTCCTCATTTATAAGACTTTCGGTGTTTTCCTTAATTTGATCAATCAAACCTCTATATGATAGCACTTTTGGCATTGAATTCTAGGACACTCTACTTCCCATTCTACTAAGTCTTCTTCCAACGTTTTTCTCAATTTATGTTTATTTTAGATCAATATAAGAATATTTATTAACTTTTTAGATACCTAATCCATTTAAACTGGATGTTGGCAATATATTATTCGATACCATAAACCAAAACGTTGTTCCTACTTCATTAATTTTGAACTGTAAACCATTTTGTTAGTTAGACAAATGCAAACACAATTTATTAGCTAGATAGCATCCTAACCCAAATCCTGCTGTATTAGCAGTGATGTGGTGTTCACTCTTAAAATCCTACTTTAACATTTCTCTTAAATTCTTCTCATCTTCCTTGCTCATCCCAATTCCAGTATCCCTAACAGAGAACTCTACATTATCATCGTTTAATTAATTAGCAGATATTATTATGGAACCATTTATTGTAAACTTTTAAGCATTGGAAATTAAATGAATTAAGATTTACTTGATTCTCCGTTAATCTGATATTATCTACTAACCTTCTGGTATGTAATTCAAATATTCTAATTGTAATTACTTTTGTTTGCACTATTCTTGGAACAAAGTTGTCACAGTTTCAAGGATATTAGAAATATCTAATTGCTCCAATTATAATTTGAATTATCTACCAAGAATATCATTGTAATCTACCATATCCAAAATAAAGTTATGCATAATTTCACAAGTATTTTTTATTGAATAATAGTATTATTGAGAGGGATACTTGTCAATGGCAACTTGTGCAATAGCCAAAATGAAATTTAAGAGTGTTCCAAATTCATGTGATATAGTTGTAAATAATTATTTCATTATTTAATATAAATATTGCCTTTTTAGATAATCGTCTCGCTCTTTGCTATCTTAAAAAGTAATGTTGATCAATTCGCTATTCTCCTCCTAAGTAATTGAAATAATATGATCTGGAAGTAAATCACTATCTAATATCTACATTGAAACCATTTTTTTTAATTTAAACTGACTTAATAATTCAATTAATTCAATATTTTTAAATTTTAGATCCAACTATTGTTTACTTGAGATGTCAACTTTTTTAACTTTTAAAGATTTGTTATTTAATTTTTGCTTAATATATTGATTCATAAAGATGCAATTCATATTTTTTTTATTGAACATCATAACACCTTAACTTTCTAATTATCTTGGACTTTAAGATTTAGTTGTATTAGAAAAACAATGATTAAAATTTTTTTTTTTGTTTTTTAATTATTTATGAACAAGTATTAATAAGATTCCTAAAGCAAAAATTGCATTGCGAAAATAGTCAACCAAAGTGCTTGATACATTCACTACGACTAATATACTAATTCCTTTGTTACAGTAAACTCTTTACCTAAAAGCGACAAATTTCTAAAGACTTTTTAATCGACTCTCTTACTGTCATTCATCAGTAATAAATAAACAATATTGTAAGGTATCAATTATTTATTATAGAATGCCATCAGACTAATTTAAACAGATAAAATCGTGGTTTCATACATTTGAAAAAATTGATTAGTCTCAAATTTTATACTGCCAAATTAGGTGCAAATCAGTCCTATGTTTAAGCATATTGATGTAAGATTTGAGGCATCAAAACAACTTATAATATTTAGTAATAACATGGTGATCTTAATATATAACATATTATAATTAATAACAAAATTTTCACTTTTTTTGTTTATTATTCGACTTTGTATTCTAAACTTCAAAAACTACATTGTATTAACATTCCTGAATTTCCATTTTTATAAAGTTCTGCTTCATAATTTATCATTCGATCTGCGTGTGATCTGTACTTAATGAAAATCTAAAAGGAAATAAACATTATTTTAATAAACAATTTGATAAACAGAAACAATATCTAGTATTCTGATTTTCTAATAGTTTGATTTTTAAGAATTTTTTGCTTTTAAGTTCTTAAAAACTTATTTAATTTTATCGTTTTATAATATTTAATGGAAGATTTAAATAATCCCTTCGAATTATAATAAAAAGTAAAGAAAATGTTTTAAAGTTACAGCAAAAAAAAATATCACTTGGATTTTTTTACGTTATAATTTGATCATTAATGTAAATTACTACTTGGATAGAGGGTTATTCGTTGAAGATGATACAAAATTATTATTATTTCCAAGACATGATAAAATAATAAAATTACTCAAGTTTTATGGATTTTTCAAAACAAATATAATTATTATTATTAAAGCTTAATTTTCCAGATTTGATTATGAAATTCAACGAAGAACTCTTTGTTAATTTGTGGGTAATATTTGAGAGCAATATGTTATTATTATAAATTTTACATTTTGCTATTTAAATATTTTCTTTAAAAATACAATGAAACAGATTGACTTGTTTATAATTGAGTTTTTCATTAAAAATATGATGCACTTATTTAATCTATGAGTAAAATACTTGTTGGAGGATTTTAATATAATGAATTTATAAATTATATAACTTATCATTGAATGGCTGATGAAGATGGCTTTTTGAGTGATGATGTATTAAGTGATGCTAATTAAGGGTTCTTTTACGGATCGGAAAAAATAGAATAAAGTTGTCCTAAATCAAATGGTTGAATTATGGAAGGACAATGAAGATTTTAACAGATCTGAGCATGTGGCGAATGGAGTTTAACAATTAGCGAACGATTTCATGGAGGAGTTAGATGAAGAATATGAATAGGAATATAAGGCAGCAAACGTACCAGAGTAGATTTGTATTGATTTGATCCATATGAATTCTTTACAGAAGGCTTTTTAATATAGAGATAAGTATATATTCAGCTATTAAAGTAGCTAAGATATCCGATGTTGCGCGTTAGAAAATAAATACTAATTTTGGTCAAAACAATTTCATACACTGCTTTAAAGATTTCAAAACACTAATTATTTGAGGCCTTGACTTTGGTAGTAATCATAATAAATTCAATTTTACTTTCAATTTAGTATGATGATCAAGAGGCTCTTGAATTAACATTTTTAATATTGTATTACGTAGAAGCGTTGATAAAAATAATTGGAAAAGGACTAATTTTTAATTCAGGTGCATATTTAAGAGATATTTGGAATGTAATTGATGCCTTGGTCATAGTGGCTGGTTCTTTGTAATATTTCATGAGTACATCAGTTTAATTGAGTGCTTTGAGGTCACTTAGAGTCCTAAGACCCATAAAAGCAATTTCATCAATAAAATCGTTGAAGCAAATTATGACAACTTTCTTTTTATCTTTTAATGAATTGGCAAATGCCTTGTTAGTGCTGGGATTCACCCAAGTAATATTTGCAATAATTGGATTATAACTATTCTAAGGATACACTAAGTATAGATGTTTTGATGAGTATGGAATCCAATCGATGGAAATTGATTAGCAATATTGCCACAATTGTCTTGATGGTTATATATGTGGTAAAATGTTGGAGAACCCTAAAAAAGGATATTTGAGTTTCGATAATTTTGGTTTAGCCCTATTGCAAGTGTTTATTATTAGTAATTTGGAGGGTTGGGTGGATATAATGGCAGCGATTATTTACACTTTTTCAGAAGTGGCAGTTCTTTACTTTATCACATTTATAATAATCAGTGCCTATTTTTTAATTCATCTTACTTTAGCAATTTTGAAGGTGAATTTTAAGAAATCTAATCATATTGAAGATAATTAGGTCGAAGAGGTGTCTTACAATTATAGATAGTTGAAAAGATTGAATATTTATAAGCCTATAAACGATAATAAACGAAAATAAAATTTCCATAGATAACAAAGTATGAGAAGATCAAGAATTATCAGATCCATTTAACCTAAGCAACCTACATTTATAGAGAATTCTGTTAATTAAGTTTCTCAAGTCAAATTGCCATTTAAACCACTACTCATTAACGAGTATAGTAAACCTAAAAAGCTTAAGCATCATAATACTATGATCACGCTACATGGAATTTATGGGGTTAAGAATGACGAATCAAAATAGAAAAATAATGATTCAAATAATCATTTGTACAGAAGAGCCACTTAAAGAAATATTCTCAAAAGAGGAACTAGTATTTTAGAGAGCAATCCCCTTTAAGAATTAGAACAAATGCTTCAAGGGGAAAAGGAAAGAATTCCTAGATAGACATTAGCCTAATAAAAGTTAATTAAAGATGTGAAATTAATTGCATCTTCATTTCAAAAAGCTCCTGCTTTGATCACAACTGTCAAATAAGCTCTTAGAAAAAGTAGAATTGAGTAGGAGGTCAAGTAATAAGACAGCTCCTTGAGTGTGTCACTAACTGAAATCGAGTCAGTAGCAGATGAAAAGGTAAAGGAGCGATTTTAAGAGCTGGATATTCTCTATTAAGAAGATAAGGAAGAAAAAGCTGCAGGAGAACCTAAAAAGCAAATTTAACCGACTTCAAAAAAATAAAAGAAAGCGGAATAATTTAAACCTTAATCCATGGAGATTAGCAAAGAAGATGAGAAATTGAAGATTCGACTCTTCGAAACTAAATTATATCCAAGAGTTCTGTATAAAGAGCATATTTGTGAATCAATTAAAGATATATTGCCATCCTTAGAGAGAGAAACTCAATTGCTAGAACTCTAAAAGAGAGAAGAAAAACGCAAGAATATGAAGGTTTCATTACGATACTAACTATAAATTCAAGTCATAGAGAAGAAATTCGAAAAGAAAGATAGAAAACTCACTTATGATTCATCAAAGGATTCTTCAAATAAAAATGTGAAGATTTTTCCTGACACTGTAAAGCAGCAGTCTAAATTTGCCAGATAGGCTGAGTTTATTGCTAGATCACCTTCTTCATTTAATGGTAGCAATCGTTAAAAAATGATTGGAAAATCTTATTTTAAGCCTTACAATCAGATTTAATAATACTCATATAAATAGTGTAAGGATTTTTTTAATCATGATTTAACAGATCAATATCTACGGAATAGAATAGAAGAAGTTGAGATAAAAGAACCTGAAATAAGAATTCCGAAGGAAGAATATTTCCATCATCATAAGTTCTATTAACAATTTCATATGTAAAAAATATAGGATATAGAAAACTTGAATGGGGAATTAATAACTGAGGCTTCAATTTTAGAGGTAAAGGCAGTTGATTTTGATCCTTTTATGATGAATAAATATGAAAAGATTATTTAAGCCTTAAATTATACTTAGGATAATTTTTACATTTATATGAAAGGAATTGTCGGGATATACAAACTAGTTAGATTTAGGATGAATATTATATTAGGCACAAATGCTTTTGAGTATATAATTAATCTTTTCGTCTTAGCCAACACAGTAGTATTGGGACTAGATGGTTTAGTTAGTAATAAAAGTGAACTAGAAAAATTGAATTTGTTTTTTACAATTTTGTTCACAGTTGAATAGGTTTTAAAGATCTTCACATATGGTATTTCTAAATACAGCAAAGACATTATGAATATATTTGATTTGTGCATAGTTCTACTTAGTTTGATTGACTTGCTATTTTTATCATCTGGAAGTGGATCACACTTATAAGCATTTAGGTCGCTGAGGCTATTTAGGGCTTTTAGAATATTCCGTGTAACTAAATTAGTGAGGTATAAATAACAATAATTTTAATTAGGAGTCTGGCATACACAAACTTTTTGATCTAAATTTTGAGCAATGCTTTCTATTCGCTTATGTACATAACATTTCTATTATTTCTATTCATTTATATATTCACACTATTGGGCATGTCATTTTTTCAAGGTGCCTTAACAAATACTCAATACAGAACTAGTTTTGATACCTTTTTGGATAGTTTGTTAGTAGTCAGTTAGATTTTGATTTTGTAATGGATTGATGTTTTATATGAATTGCTGTTGTCAGATGTGAATAATTCATTAGTGATAAGTTATTTATTAATTTGGATATTTATTGGAAATTATGTTTTACTTAATTTATTGATGGCTAGTCTGTTAAATTATTTTGAAGACGAGTATTAATAAGAAAACATTCAATCTTAAAGGCCTTCGATTACTGTGACTTTGGTGGATAGAGTGATTGAAGACAGTCCAGAAAATCCTATTTTTTAGAAGGATAAAACATAATTTAGTAATTCAAGTTCAAATGATATGAGAATGTCTACAATGAAGAATGCTTTTACTTACAACTTTGATTTTAGATAGTGTAAGCTGTCCTTAATGTTGTTTGATGAACAGAATGCATTTAGAATAATTTGTTAAAGAATTATTAATCACAAAGTGTTTAATCTGGTTATCTTCTTTGTAATATGTTTTAGTACTATAAAATTGATTTTGGATACATATTTTGATAACTTCCTTATTGAATTTGATATTTTTATAACCTGTGTTTTTTTGATCGAATTTCTGCTAAAAGTAATTGCATAAGGATTTATAACTGAACCTAACACTTACATGAGAAATACTTGGAATGTATTAGATTTTACAATTATCATTATTTCGATCATCGACATACCTTATACAGATTAAAATCTCAGTTATTTTAAAGTGCTCAGATTGTTGAGAACGTTAAGGCCTTTGAGATTAGTCAAAGAAAATAAATAGTTGAAATTGTTAGTGACTACTCTATTGAATTCACTTTCAGGTGTACTGAACGTGACTATTATTATTCTATTAGTGTTTATAATGTTTGGTATACTGGGTGTTAGTTTACTACAAGATAAAATGCACTATTGCGATATAATCTCAAAGGATGAGTTTAATTATTATAATTAACAGGAATGCAAGGAACTGGGCGGAGAATGGAGTAATAGGAATATGAATTTTGATAATATACTAAATTCAATTCTAACACTATTTATCCTGAGTAGAAGAGACGATTGGGACAAACAAATATATTGGTATATAGATGCAAGTGATGATGGTCCAGAAAAGAATGCTTAATTGTGGATAATTATATATTTTCTCACATTCATATACACAGGATCCATATTGTTGATGGATTTATTTACAGGAGTGATTTTTGTAAATTACAAGTTTGCTGATTTCTCCATGAAGGATAAAGTGTTATCGCCTGATCAGGAGGATTGGATTAACATTTAAAAGATGATCGTTGCTTCCAGTCCAAATTTTGCATTATATTATCCCCCCTTGAATTTCTATAGAGCACTTATCTTCAAACTAATATCAAACAAATACTTTGATGGAACAATAATATTTCTCATAATTTTCAATGTTGTTGTGTTATCTCTGAATTATGATGGTAATTATCAATTTAATAGTAGAATCTTCAAGCAATTACAATTCCATTTTAGAGACCTTGAATCTGTGTTTCAACTTCATTTTCATTGGGGAGTGTATTCTAAAGATAATTGCTTATGGTCCAAAAGGATACTTCAGGAATAGTTGGAATTAATTTGATTTCTTCGTGGTTTTGACATCAGCTTTGGATATCACTCTGAAGTTGAGTGGGGCGAGTAATCAGAATTCATTCTTGTCGTCTGGCCCATAATTATTTAGAGTGTTTAGGGTGTTGAGAGTAACCAAGTTGTTTAGGTTGGTGAAACAATTGAAGGGCTTAAAAAAACTCATTGACACTGCAACTTTTGCATTGCCTGAACTATTTGAATTAATCCTGCTTATGTTGTTAATGTATTGTATCTTCGCAATCCTAGCAACATTTCTATATTCTGATGTGACTGATGGGAGCATTATTGATGATACCTATAATTTTAAGAATTTTCATCATGCACTCTTAGCTCTTTTTAGATGCACTACAGGTGAAGGTTAGTACTAGATTATTTATGATATTATGGAATCTCATGGAGCAGTCCATTGTTTATTCTTTGTTGTATTCTCAATTGCAATTTAAAGAATCATGTTAAATTTGTTTATTTTGATTGTCATTCAATAATATGAACGATTTTATATCAATTCTGATAACCCACTTCAAAGATTCAAAGAATTCGAATAAGACTTCATAGATGGGTGGGCACCTCTATCTAAACAATATGGTGGAAACTATATCAAGGTTAAATAGTTGATCAGTCTGGTATTAACAATCAAATCTCCTCTTGGCTATGATCTAAATGAGAAGATCCTATTAGCCTTGGATGACTGGAAGAAGTTTAATTAGGAAGTTAAACAAACTCAATAGAACATCGATAGGATCATCAACATAGTAACAGCAGACTCCAAAAAGAAAGTGGCCACCACTATAATGACGATGGAAATGACAGCCACAGATGATGGATAATTGGAATATCATTATGTCTTCTTCACTATCATGAAAATGTTCCAACAATAATTTATGCAAAAAACCACCAAAGAGGCTAAAACCAAAATAAAACAGCATGAAGAACAAACCCTGCAAAGAATTAGGAAGAATAGAATTTACATCAACGGAGTGAATCCCTGTGTGTAATTACTATACGTGATGATGTGTTTTAAAGCATTCAAGAGATTCTCAGAGAAGGCTCAAGACAAAGCCTTACAGAAACCATAAGAATTCAGCGAATAAAGCTCAGATTCATATTATTGTTATTCAAGCTCCGAGATTGCCCAACGTGAACCTCAAAGCATCATGTCCAATACATCTAGAGAATCTTAGAATCAATTTTGTACTCCACCTGATCTTACTGTTTATCAGAGTGAAATCAACATCAACAGCAACAAGACTTCTTTGATCCAAATTTTTAATAGGCAACAAGTGTCCTTAAGTTAAACAAGTGAAATCAACAGTCCCTATATTGAATCAGCTAAATGATATTAAGATCTATATAATATTTTAAATTATTATTATTATTATTAAATATTCTGAAATCATTATGAGTTTTGATTTTGAAGAGTTTGAAACGAGCTTTGAAACATAAAAGAAAATGTTAGACAACAGGATATTGTAGATCTAGAAGTAGAATGAAACTCTGATGCAACAACAATCGATTAAGTAAAATACCATGTAAGCTTGAAAGATAGGATTAATTACGAGAAATCAAATAGGACATGAAATTAGAGTTGTAGGAAATTAAATAGATCATCGCCGCTCTTGAAGACACTGCTAATAGAGATCAAAAATTCCAACTCAAACAATTAAAATAAAAAGTGGTCAAATTTGAGGAGCAGCACAAAGCTATAGTCAAATAACTAATAAAATAATCGATTTCTGAACAGTTTGATAGGTTGTCGATGCAGGAATCACAATTCGTTTAGGATAATCAGATGACTGAGTTACAAAAAGGGCAATCTAAACTCATGGTCTCTTCAAATTCAATCCCAAATAGTCTTCCCAAAGACAATTAAATATTAATTGTTCCATCTAAGAAATAAAGTGGATTATCATTATCTTTAAAATAACCACTTCTTGAATTAGAAAATGAATAACTCTAAGAGAAAAGAGACTCTAATGAAAAGGATACCAAGGAAATTGAAGAATAAGTTGTATAATAATTAAATTAAGAATATATAGAATATTAAAATATGATTGTTGAATAGGAGAATTTAGAAAAATATAATCAAGAAATTGATTAACTCGTCACATTTTAAAAAAGTGACAAAAAATGCTTCAAATATTCAATAATCAGTGCAATTGTATTAATCATCCTCGGTGTTCTAATATTTTTGATAATACATTATTTATATATTAAATGATATTGGCTTTTTTATATAGTAGCATGTGGCTTTGTAACACAATCTATGAAATGGTGCTTGGGATTGAGTACAATATTAATATGATAGAGACAGCTATTTTACCATGGTATTGAGTTTGTAATCATACTTTGTTTCCTCTAAGTTCAATACTTACAAAAAACAAGAGAATAATTGTGTATTTTGGTTCCAATATTCCTCTTAATGTTGAATGTTGTAAGTATGTATTTTTCATATCATAGTTATTATCTCTGCAGCGAATTAGGAAAGACTTTTTCTATTCATATTGCCGACTTAAATATATGATAGTTTAAATAGGAATGAAACTAAGAGATATTATTTCATCATCTGCAAAGTATTGCACTTTGTTTCTTTATGCGTTTGGAAAGTCATTCAAAATTTAAATAATGGTGAGCCAATTGTTATTATTTTTATTCTAATCTTATTCTCTTTAGTCAGTCCAAAGGAGCAAGACAAATAATTAAAACGCAACGATACTGACTTCGAGGACACAATTCACATAAGAACAAACTCCGATTCTGATCGTGTATAGGAGATGCAAAATAATTTGGTAGGCATAATCAAATTAGATTGGACATACAACCTCATCATGTGCAATTCACGAGCTCAAAATTTACTAAAAAACATAAAAATTTAAAATCTTTTAGATAGTCTTGTTATTTCAATCGACAAATAAACCAAGACATTGTTGCAAGATTAATATAATTGCAAATTCCCATCGATTCAAGATTTGAAGGAGCTTCAAAATGCTTATACTTTAAAAGAACTCATTGAATAAATCAAATAAAATCAAAAATACCCATATGAATTTGAAGTATTCTGCTTAAAAGGATATAATGAATTTTATTTGAAAGTTTTTATATTTGATTCTAAATCATTCACAATAGTGATGCAAAATATGGAAGAGTACAAATTATAGATTAAAAAAGTATTTACTTAAACCACAATGCAGCAGTTATTCAAAAGCTTTAGTCACGAGTATAATACCTCATTAAATTACATACTTGCTTTGGCTTAAGTGGCTGAATGTCATAATCAAGTACCAAAATATATTTAAGAACAATTTTTTAAACCCATCTTAGCAAATGGAAAAGTTATGCATAGTATGGTATTGGATATGATGGACTACAACAGCATTTTAGGGAAAACATTCAGTCTAGAAGTCTCACATTTCAATATCTAGGAACTCATTTTAGAAGTAATCTCACTTTTCAAGGATCAAATCAAGAAAAAGAATCTTGAAATTGAATTTGAAAGCAATCTCTAAGTCACTGATATTTTATCTGATCGGAATAGAATCAAATAAATTTTGATTAATCTTGTATCTAACGCATAAAAATTTACACTCCATGGTAACATAAGATTGAGAGTGGAATATCAAATTTTAAATGCTAAGCACTAAGAAATAATCTTCCATGTCTAAGACACAGGAATAGGAATGGCAAAAGAGGAATAAGAAAGGTTGGTCCTACTGTTGTAATCAGGAGTACCATCTATTTCAAAGATCTCAAAAAATACTGCCGGTTTTGGATTGGGTCTATTTATTAGTAATAAAATTGCCGAAGCATTATCCTAATAAAGATATGAAAAGGGGGGAGGTTTGAGATTTGAAACTCAGACTGGTAAAGGGTTTCATTGTTGGTTTTCCGTTTACCATTAAATTGTAAGTCCTTCTATTAAACCAAATAATCCGAGAAGTCCTTTGGTGTTGTTGAATAAAAAGGTGGTGATTGACACCAGATAGACCTAAGTCAATGCTGGGGTGGAACATCTAAGAATGACTTAGATGAGGTCGAAGTTCTCACATCTGCTCAATAATAAGGTACCTTCAATTGAGTAGAACTTATTACGAGAAAGAAGGCCTCATAATAAACTGAAGCTTGTTTAGACATTGATTGATGCTGTTTCTTAGGATTCAGTCAATAAGGAATGTTCAATTGATGAATTTTAGAGTAGGATCAAGTACATGAAAGGATCTGGCCAATAAAAGCAAGAGTTATAGCAACAGCAATGTTAAATAAGAATAAATTAATCCAATTCAGATTGCAGGTGTCCATAGATTTTGATTGTGGATGATGAGTAAATCAATATTATGGCATTGTCAATTTTGTTGGAGCAATTCAATCTTACTTCCGATCAGGTGTTTAATGGGTAGGAATGTGTAGATTTGATATTTTCAAACTAAAAGAAAAGTATGTGATTTGATATAGTTAGCATATTGTAGCAAGTGCAGTGACAAGTAGTACCAACTTATTTTTATGGATATTAACATGCCTCTTTTGGATGGGTGGGAGGCGTCGAGACAAATAAAAAAGAAATGTTCAATATCCATAATTGCTTGTACTGCGTTTACTGACAATGAAACAAAGGAACAGTGTTATTAAAATGGAATCGATTATTACATCTCTAAACCAGTTAAGAAGGACTCTTTAGCGTAAGTGCTTCAATATTACGATATTCTTTGACTATTTATATAAAATTTTGGATTTAAAATATTATTAATTTGTCAAATTAAATGAAAGTTTGTCAAATTTGTTATACGAATGAATCATTTATTACTCCTTGCAATTGCTAAAATTGTGTTCCTTGTTTAATAAATTGGTTTGGAATTAAAAACAATGAAACTCAAACAATTAATTTCAATTGTCCCAACTAACATTGCTCTTACAACTACTCGAGACAAGAACTCTAAAATATTTGTAAATATCCCCTTTACGAATAATAACTCTCGGAAATTTTACTAAAAGAGTATTTAAAAAACCAAGACATCAGACCATGTCCTAATGGTAGATGTAGGAATTTCGGATTCATTGATTTAAATTCCAGATGTGATCAATTATTGCAATGTACTTCTTGTTCGACAAAGTGGTTGGATATATCAATATCATCTTAGGCAGTTCAGTTAGAATATGGGTTTTCAAATATGTATTTTAATATCAAGGATTTCATATATTGTTTTTTATTTACCAACGAATGTCCTCAATGTGGAGTTTAGATCTAGAGAAATGGAGGGTGTCAACACATGACATGCAAAGCCTGTCAACATTAATTTTGTTGGTATTGTAAATTTAGATGGAATGGTCATATGTTGAGACTTTGCAGTTTCTCTTATGCCACCAAGATGGGTATTTTTGTTTACATCCTGATGTCACTCTTGTAAACACTTGGACTCCTAAATACAGTCTTGTTTTTATTCTCGTTGCCATTTAAATGGTTTTCTTTTGTGATATTGGCTAACTCAATTCCATTCGGATTTGTGGTAGGAGTAGTGTATTTTTGCTATGGATTTTCTCACTTGTATTGTTAATGGTACAAAAAAGGGACTCTGGAAGTTACCATTTCCACAGTTTCACTTATTATTTGGTATTAACTACATAGTTTAATTGCTGACATTTTTGACTTATCTATTTCGATATACATAAGTGCAGTGATGTGGGAAGGCATCATTGCCGTTGTTATTGTGTGCTATTTATTTAGATAACAACTTACTTGGATTGTATTCCCCATCTCTGCTATGTCTCTACTTTACTACTTTGGATTGAATGGGCTATGTCTGTTATGTTGGGGATTGCCAATTATGAAGAAGTAGTTTGCAAATAACAAATACTTATTTTAATGTGCGGGATATCTGTTATTTACTATTTTGAACATCTTTGATTTATAGGAATAAATTTAATAGAATAAAATTAGTTACATATTTAGTTTGAATTTAGTCTATATTTTGTATGTGGAGAAATCAAGAATATTTGATTACATAAGATTTTGAATATGATATTGATATTTATAAATGATTATAATTTATTTAATATTTTTAATATATTATTAAAATATTAATTAATCAGTTGTTATTTATATATTAATGACGTAAATTCATTATTCTCATTATTTTTAATCCTTTAATTATGTCATCAAATTAATAAATGAATAAACGACATTATATTATATGTTAAATTAATAATGTTAAATAACATCTCTGAATTCTTAAGGCGAATCGATCAATTTGGAGCAAGTTACAAACCAAGTTATTCTTATGGAGAAGTTTAATTTAAAACCAGTTTAGGAGGGTTGCTATCTATAGTGCTTTATGGATTAAGCTTAGCTTACTTAATATATGAATTGATTCTTTGGAAATCTGGAAGAATTTTGCCAAAAATAACAAGTTTATAAACAGAAATTGAAACTTATTCACTTTAATTTGACAAAGTAACTATAGCCTCTTTTTGTTTGAGAAAACACACAAGCATTCATAATTAAATAGACCCATTCGACCCAAACAATGTCATTGTATTGCCAATGCTCTATGAAATATTAAATGACGAGTTCTAAGAGCCTTAAACTCTACTATCAACAAAAAAATCAGAAAAACATGGGACCTATTTAATAGAAGTCAAAAATATAGAACTATCCAATAATGAGCATGAATCTCTCGATCATCCAAACAAAGAATTTTTGTTGGTGTTCCAAGAGTGCACTTAAGATCTATTGCCAGAAGGTTGGTATTGTGCTAAAGAGGACAGAATTAAAACATTTTTTAATCAAAAGCAAAATTAGTTGCAAATACAAACATTTGTAAACTAATATAACACTTCTACTAAAAAAATTGATATTGTTGAACAAGATTATTATGCATCCTTCGACAATAAAACTACATATTTTAGCTAAATTGTTATTGGATCTACAAATATTTCAATAGATACTGGATTCTTGCTTGAAAGTTTAGAGATTATTGAATTTCCAAGTTCACTCTAATCTTACATCCAATAAATGGACTTAGATTACTTTGCTCATTCATTTCAAAACAAAATATTCTTAGCCTTTGAGTTTGAATTAGGCACCCTATAATAAACAGTTTATGTGGAATATCCCAAAGTATCAGAAGTCTTAGCCAATATTGGATCGATTGTCTCTTTCTTTTTATTCTTTTCTCATATTGCGTACATGATAAATGAAAAGAATCTTGAACTTAAGGTTTTGAGAACCTTAATTGAAATGTATTATCCTCAAATGAAAGAGGTTACATTTAAAAAAAATTGTTATGGAAAGGTGATTTAAGTTTTGTATAAAAACTCAAGAGTGTCCATTTCTTTTCTAGAAACATATAATAAATTTTTAAAGATTGCTCAGGCTAAGTTATGTCTAACCAATTAACTATATGAGGTTTCAAGATTACAATTTATATTGAACTCCATTTGTGATAAATAGGTCTTTAGAGATTGCCATGATATCGGTATAAGACTAAAAGGTTTAGACTTCGAACATGATCCAGATAAACATAATAATAAACCAAATATTATTAAAGTGGAAAATATTATTCAATAAGAATTGAAATTAGAAAACGTTGAAAATGAATCCATCAAAGAATTGAACATTACAAAAATTGTAAAATTACCTTATAATATTATAGAATCCTAAAGCCACAATCGAAATGCAATCAAATTAAATTTAAGTCGAGTAATTGAACTAATCATAAAGTTTATTCTTAGGAAAGATGATTGAAAACCAATTAATTGATGAAGAAGATTTCAAACTATCAGATGAAGATTTCTATGTCTTAATGTAACATTAATCACGCATTAAAGAGTTGGAATATGAAACGGTAGCCCTTTAAAATTAATAGTAAATCTAATATGAAGTGTAAAATTGAATCTATGTACATAATAATTATGTAAATTACCTACAATTTTAACGATATATATTTTATTTATGTAAAGCCAAATAAAACCCTCTTTAAACGGTTAGAAATAATTAAATTTGGCTTCACTGTTTTTTTTCGTGTTAAATTGTACAAAACAAATTAATCAATATACAAAAAAAGGTATTTTATTTGAAATGATTAGCTTAGTGTATCTAATTTATCAGTGAAAATAGATACATTTTTTAATATCACAAAAAATCAAGAAAGAAAAATCTAATTCTATGATAGGTAAACATTAAAACTAGAACACTGATTCAAGTTAAAAAACTTTATTATCTCCTCTATAAAACAAACACATTTTTACTATAATATAATTAGCTATGATTTTTATAATCTCAGTCGAATTGAAATTAACAACTGTCAAAAGTTTACTTACTGTCCTTTCTAAGCTTAAATATGCCAGACATATTATTGAAATTTTTTGAATTTTAAAATTGCATCTCATTACATTAGGGGCAAATGAAATTCATTAAGGAACAGCAAACTCCAATTTAATGCTTTTTACAATCTAATTTTTAGCGCTTATTATAAATAGAAAAATCTGTAGAACAAAAAGTACATTAACCAATAGTCTAATAGTTTAACTCTTCTTCCTCAGTCATTTATACTTCCATTTGTAGTTCTATATTCTATTTTTCGCTTACCTGTTCTAAGGGTTAAATGAAAATATCTTATTTCTATTCTGCTTACTACTGCTCTTATTATTGAAGTAGTATTTATTATTACTTTTCAAAATAATAATCAAAATTAAGTTGATTTAAAAATTAAGTGCAATTTAGAACTGGACATCTAAGTTTAGCAGAATAACTATTTCTGTTCAATATCAAATTATTTGAACAACAAAAGCATAAAAGGTGCAAACAATTTTCATCAAAATATAAATGTCTTCTATCGATTTTTCCTTAGCAATTAGAACATCCAAAGAGAATACTTTACTCTTTTATTTTTTCTAAATCAATTTCTTACTAATTTGGAATTTGTTGTTATTCTAAAGTTGTTGTAGATTTTCTAGAGCATTCTCTGCACAAATTATTTTTTTAAGCACTTATCAATTATTTTCTTTTTAATTCATTTTTACCACAATTGTTGCATTATTTAAATTCAAGCTCGATTATTTCTACTCTTTTATTTATAGAAGCATCTCCAGAGCAATATGAATAATAAGATTATAGGTCGATTAATGAAGAACAATCTCTATTTAAACATTTATAGTTTATTTCAACATTAGTTATTTTTAAATTTAAGCATTTTGAACAAAACTGATGATTGCAAGCCTTATTAACAAAAAGTGGAGTTTATGTTGCTTCATTGCAATTCATACAAGTTTAATCTGATTAAGTAAAATTATCTTAATGATTATGCTAATGATTCTCTTAAAGATTATTTTAATGATTCTTTTAATTATTATCCTAATGATTTTCTTGTTCAATTTAATTTTCAGTTAACTCTTTTTAGTGATTCTATTAAACCTATACTAATTTGGTATCATTCCTATTTTCACTCTCATGATAAACCTCAATCAATTTGAATTTAAAAATAAGATTTATTCCATTATCTACATCAAAATTATTGGGCTCACTGTTTTAGTTTAAATGTTATTATTAATTAGATTATGAGGGATCCATTTCACCCACATTTGATTGTTAGTTCTCATCAAACTATCTAATGTAATAATATTGGTTATCTTTCAAGTAAATAAATATCTTGGTTTTTTATGTACCCATTTTCAGAAAATAATCTCCAAAAATACAAAATGATAGTTGGAAGACCTTGCTCAAAGCGTAGAGTTTTTATATGAGATCATTTACTATCATTTGCTGGGGGTAATTGCAAAACTCAAATAGTAAGGATTTAGCTCTTGTAAAATTAGGATCATTTATTGATGCTGAATGATAGAATTTGGATAAATTTCTATCTTTTAAAATACAACTTTATATTTTTTGAGCAATCTCCTAAGCATAACGAGTATATGGTTTATTTGGATTAACTAATGTTCTCAGCTTCTCAAAATGGTTATTAGCCAGAAGACAATCAAGTATGGACATTAACAAAGTTATTGATAAATTAGAACCAATGAACTGCATTGAAAAATAATTTCCCCACTCTCCATATTGTTATTTTAGGTATTCTGGAATCTGAATTACATCTCCTTCATTCACTTGATTCATTTTTTTGAATTAAAATTTTAATAGTATTTAATATTAAATTATAAAGCATAATTGTAATTGATTTCTTATTTTTTAATGGAATTTGGGATGGCAATACTCCATATAAAAATATGTTCGGAAAATTATAAATTACAATGTAATGTTAAATCAAATTTTCTATTTTGTAAGGTGATTCATGAACATTTGAAATATTCAAGCTGATAAGTTCATTAATGATCCAATATAAATAATAATCGATGGCCACCAAGGAACATTCTCTCTATAAGTTAGTCCCAAAGGAATAGGCAGAAGCATTTGCATGGTCATTTGAAGGACCAAATACTGAGGCTGTTCTGTATCCATTCTAATTTCCAGCAATCCAACCACACGAAGTGAGAATTCAATAGACCTACTTTGGTTTGTGTTACACTGATTGTAAATTTGAAATCAATATCAAAAGGCCATCTTGTTAATTAAGATTGGTTTCCAATCAATTATCCAAGTGTTCCAGGACATGAGATATTAGGCCATGTCGTCATGAAAGGGGACTAGGTTACGCAATTCTAAATTGGTGACTTGGTTGGGGCAGGCTTCATAAGAGACAGTTGTGGAAGCTGCAAATAATGTATATTGGGAAATGATTAACTATGTGGACAAAAAGGGGATGAACATTTAATCCCTCTCCCTAAATTTGGAGGATTCGCAACACATGTGTAATTCCCTGCTAAATGGGCTTTTCCCATTCCAAATACAATCCCTTAACAATTGGCTCCTCCCCTTTTATGTGCTGGTATTACAGTCTTTGCTCCATTAAAAAGATATTTCAATGCCAAAAAGGAAGTTGCCATCATTGGCATTGGAGGATTGGGACATCTCGCCATCAAATTCTCAGCTGCTCTGGGAATGAGAACAACTGCAATATCTACTTCCCCAGATAAGGAATAGGAGGCTAGATCTTATGGAGCTGTTGATTTCATTGTTTCTTCAAACCCAGAATCAATGGCTAAGGCTGCAGGAAGATTCGATCTGATATTGGGTTGTGCCCATGCTAGCACTGTCGACGAATTCATAGATTAAACTAAGTTATTAAAAAATGGAGGAGACTTCGTCATGGTTGGAATCCCTGCACTCACTAAAGTTGAGTTATAATTGCCATTCTATTAATTGGTATGCCGATAAATTTCATTTGTTGGATCTTTGGTTGGTTCAAGACAAGTAAGTTATTATAGGATAATTTTTAGGAAAACTACGAGATGATCGAATTTGCAAACAAGCATAAGATATATCCAACTTGTGAAGAATTTGAATTTGAGAACTTCAAAAATGCATATGATAAATTATTAAACGGAAGACCAAAATATAGATGTGTTGTTAAAGTTGGCAATGCAACTTAAACATTAAAACAATGAGTTAAAGAATTAAAAATCAATTAAATATAAACTATTATTAATGAAATGATGATTGAACAATAATCTCAACCATATTCTTTTAATTGTTACTTTGTTTTAATTGATCAATTTTAGAATCCTTTGTCATTCAAAATGAAAATGAAATTGATTTTTACAACTTGAACGTCATTTTTATAATGAACAAAGTTTTGAAGTAAAAAAATTCGATATACAGTACTTTGTTTATTTTCAAACACATAAATATCATTTGAATTTAGATACATACATCCAAATGATATTTATGTGTTTAATGATTTATAAAAATTATTTATATTAATATTCATATGGGAGCTGTGACTATTGTTGTTTTTGGAGTAGTTCTAGCACTTTTCTTCAAATTAGCCTCAGACCTAGACGTGTTCAAGCCAGTAACGAATTACAATGAATATGGAAATTGTAAATACCTAAAGGAGGATATAAGAGGGCCTGAGGATATGACCTAATATAATTCCACGACAATTATAATAGGTTCTGGAAATTTCTAAAAGGTGTATGCTTAGGGTAAACCAGAATTAGAGTAACAGGGGATTTATGCAATTTTAAATTCCAACAAAAAGAACTATAGTGTCCTCCAATTGGAAGTGAAAAACTTTCCAAAAGATGTGGCTTTATACATGCATGGAATATATGTGAGAAAACAGTAAGACGGAAATTACTTGTTTGTAATCAACCATGCTTACCACAATGGAGGTGAAAGAATTGAAGTTTTCAAAATAGACGAGCAATTAGTACTAACATACACTCACTCAATTATAATGGGGGAGTAGTACACAGGAATTTTGAATGATTTGGTAGTGATTGACGATAATCGATTTTTGATCACTACTTACATGCCATTGCCTGATCCCAAACAAGGAAGATCAGCAGCAGGTGCCATGCATATCTTGTAAACCTTGTTTTATTAGTTGACAAAATAAAAGACTACCTACATAATGGATTGCAGATTCAAGAAAGAGAACACTCTGATTCATCCTGTATGCAAGCAATTGCCCAACACATCAGGTATCATGAGAAATGGTATAACTTGGAACAAAAGGGATTTGGTTTGGGTAGCTGATTCTGTTGAGAAGGGATTCACTGAGTACTAGATACAAGGCGATGAGTTGATTTTCAAGAGATTTGTTCCGGTGCAGAATGGAATAGACAATATAGAATATTAGGAGGAGAGAAATTCCTTAATAATTGGGTTGATTCCAAAATTATATAATTATTTCTAATTGGATTTTTTTGTCAAGACTAACCCACTTGATAGGTAAACTAACTTTGAGTATTGGGGTGCTGTGGGAGAGTACGATTTGAGCAAGGATCAATTGCACATCTTGACTCAGAACAGGTATTTGTTGAAGGGACTTGCTGGAGGTTTGGTGAGTGGGAATAATCTGTTTCTGGGAAGTTGGTGTGATGTGTCTGTTATGGTTTGTTAGAAAATTTGAATGATTTAAATTATAATGTATAAAGAAGAATTAAATTCATTTCTAATATCTGAATCAGATATATAAATCTTAATTAAAATTTAAAAAATATATAATGGATCGTCTAAACCCATCATCCAAAGATTGCATAGTTCCCCTTATCGAAGAAAATTCTCCTTGTATTTGTAATAAATAATATAATATTATTAGAAAGCAACAAACAAGAGATTGACTCCCAATTTTTGTTACCCCAATTTACATAGATGTTCCAGAATCCTGACCTTCTACTTTAAACTGTCCAACTGGAATAATTGAAGCTACAAGCCCAATTCTACTCTCAGATGAATAATCTACCACTCATTACTGATGAACCTAGAGTCGTTGATCTATTCACCCAACAACTTCTCTAGTAATAACTCATGATTAATGCAGCTCTTCTCAATCAATTCTAAGTATCATCTCATTCTAAAGTAGGGAGTTGAAAATGCTAACTAGAGTCAAACCAAGGATTTAGGTGATAATAAAATTAAAAGAAAACATATTAAAAAAACCCATAATCCTCAGTTTAATACAGGTATTTAATATCTTAAATGAGAGTAGGACATTGGAGTGCCCAGGAACATTAGGTCTATTTGAGTTTCTTGTCACAACACAGGGATGTGATGGAAAGTTCTGAATTAAAAAAAACCAACAAAATCTTCAAACTGATGTCTGACATCATTAAGAGTCGCTCGCCCTCTTAATGTAGATCTCACCATCAGAAATTCAACCCTTATTCCAAATATTTGATTAATGTATTAAATTGGTGTATATTTTAGAATAACATTGTTCGTAGAAAAATGAAAGAACAATAGAAGGATGCCCAACAATAACAGTAGTAAATTTCAGAAAATGAAAATAATCAGTAATAGTAATCCCAAGAGTCCAATTTAAAGATTGAGTTCCAACAACAATTGCAGGAATTCAAAGTGGAATCACAGCAATAACTGCAAGATTCCAATGCCAGAGAAGATTAACAACAGGCTAGTGGCCAGGATTGATGGCTTTATCGATTTTATTTTTTAATTATTATATTCATTATATAAATAAATGTATACGTTAATAAATGAGCTTTGGAATGCCTAACAATCCAATCCTTTCCAACTTTCTATCCACATCCCTCAAACCATTATCATAAATCAGGGATTCAAAATCCAATGGTACTTTTCATAAAATAATAAAATCCTTAAACGAAAATCCATAAACTGCAACATACCCTCAATCATCAGCTATCTAAAATAAAATAATACCCCAATGAACATAATAACAATCTCATCACCTTATGTTGTTGAAGGATTTGGTCAAATTTAATTGAAAAATGAACCAATAGCAATTGAATAAATATAATAATTATTAATACATTATCAAACTTACCCTCACATCATTGAGAACCCCATTATTTTGTAGGAACATTTTCAATTAGCACAATATATTTCATTAAAATGGAATAAAAATTACACCTTTATTTAAGAATGCGATTCCCATTCCTATTAAGTAAATTAACAATGCCTCAAATTAACCCCGCATTACAGATCTCAAATCAACATGCTAAGTTAATAACTGGTCCAAAGGATCCAACAGATCTATTAAGTTAGAGGACAATTAAGCGAGATGAACATCATCATGTGTCTCCAAGATAAACCCATTTTCCTCTGGTGCACTGAGATTAAGTTCATCAATGATCAGTACGTGAGATAAGAAGACGACCAGTTTCGATTGTGGAATAGGATCAAAGAATTTCGATTAACATTCAATCCAATCACTAAGCATCATAGATGTCAAAGCAATCTAGAAGGCTAGGCCATAAATCAAAGTCAATAGAATGAAAACTTAAATAAGTCAACCTTATATCTTAATTTAAATGGTTTGATATCCAATAGAGCTCACAATGTCAGTGTTACTTCTAATGTTTCAAACTCTAAATAGCATATTCAACCACTTTTTACGTAGATGAAATCAGCTCGAAGTAACATAACATCAAATATCAATATCAATGTCAAATAGCTCTTAAACAATAACAACCATAATTAATCACAGGAACTCTCTACTTAACGACAAAGCAGAGGAGGGTCTGTGTTGAAACAATTGTCAAATAGGTCATTTTCCAATCGATCTTAGTCGATGTACAAAGTGCATTTGAATGATGATAAAATTCAGCAGTGTGGCAATCAAAAGAAGAATGGATCTATGACTTAGAGAACTGAAGCTTCGGAATAGGAGTTGTTATTGTAACCAAAAATCACGAAGAGCAGTTCGAAAGTTGTGAATTGCTTGAGGTAGAGATTGCAAGAAATTAAATTAAAATAGTTATTATGATTTAAATTCAATATAAAAATATAATTTATCAAAAAAAAATAAAAATTTCTTCTTATATATATAAATGTCAGATATTGATTAGTGGATTGAGACTCTAAAGAATGGGGAGAATCTGAAGGAAACGGATGTCAAAATACTATGCAACAAGGCCAAGGATATCCTGAACAATGAGGACAACGTCATAAGAGTTGAAGCTCCAGTGACTGTAAAAGAAATTCTTATTTAGATTTGTGGAGACATTCATGGACAATTTTATGACCTAATGGAGTTGTTTAAAGTCGGAGGAGATGTTCCAGAGACCAATTACTTATTCCTGGGGGATTTTGTGGATAGAGGATATAATAGTGTTGAGACATTTTTATTGCTCTTGGCCTTGAAAGTGAGATATCCAGCATTAGATTATCACTTGTACGACATTAAATATCATATGATAGAATACGAGGGAATCACGAATCAAGGCAAATCACTTAGGTGTATGGATTCTATGATGAATGCCTAAGAAAGTATAGCACTTTGAATGTGTGGAAGTATTGCACTGAAGTTTTTGATTATTTGGCTTTGGCAGCAGTGGTCAATGACAACATTTTCTGTGTGCATGGTGGTTTGAGTCCTTACATCAAAACAATCGATGAAATTCGAATCATCAATAGAAAGTAGGAAGTGCCTCATGAAGGAGTCATGTGTGATTTGATGTGGTCAGATCCTGATGGTTAATTGTTATATTAAATGTTGTAGAAATCGAAGGATGGAGTCAGAGTGCCAGAGGAGCAGGTTTTGTTTTTGGAGCAGATGTCGTAAAGGAATTCAATCGTAGAAATGGCATCTCTTTGATTTGCAGAGCACATCAATTAGCCATGGAAGGATTCAAATTGATGTTCGACAATTCCCTCGTCACTGTTTGGTCAGCTCCCAATTATTGCTATAGGTACTTTTTCAAATTATTGACAACCTAGATGTGGCAATGTTGCTTCTATTCTTGAGTTGGATGAGAACCTTAAGAAGTATTACAAGCTATTTGAGGCTGCTCCTACAGACAGAGCATAGAATTCAAAAAAAGTAATTGCAGACTATTTCTTATGATGATTTAATATTAATATAAATAACATTATGTAAGAAATAATAATTACAACGCTGTTAAAATTTAATGAGATTTTGGAAGCATTCTAACAGGTTTTCAAGATTCATAATTACAACTGCAATCAACAACGAGAGATTCTGGAAAAATGTTTAGGCAAGGAATATAACAGTAGTTGCATCTATATCAGTGTTAACAGCAATAATCAATTCTTTCCCAATTACAAGGATTTGCAAGAGATTGAACTCAAGTTCTCCAAAGAAAAATAATAGCATGACGATAATCTCATAGGTCTCAAAATCATTTTTATCCTTAGAATTGATTTAAAACAATGTTCAATAAGAAACTAATGAAGTTAAAATTTAACTGGACCAACTTCTCTATAATTAAAGTGAAAAGCTCAATGATTTCAAATCCTACGTATCAGATATCTATTTAACTAAAACTGATATTCGTCAATTCAAATCTAATTCTGATGAGAGGATTATTAAATTGTAAGATTAAATTCAGTAATTCCAAACTAAGTTCGCCCTTAAACTATACACAGAATAGCATATTGTAATCAATGCCATTTTTAATCATTAGATTGACATCAAATAAGCCATTACGTAAATATAGTAAGCGAATAACTTAATCAAATAAGATTCCTAAACTTTGCATAAGCTGAATCGAGATAATAGATAGATGATTAAATAGCATAATGAGTAGTTTTCTCAAAAAATTGATAATCTCCAAAAAGAATAATATAAAATATGTGAATTTGAAATGGAGGTTGAAAAAATGAAGATCTAAATTTAAGAATAAAAATCAGGTATAATTCCTTTTCAATATTATTAGAAAATGAGATAATGCAAAATAAAGTAAAATCATTGTCTCAGTTATTTTAAGAATTGGAAGTGAATAATTCTAAGGTGGTTAAATTTGAAATTCATACGGCATTCAAAAAGGTGGAAGAAGAATTTTTCTATTTTAAAAACCGACAACAAAGCTTTTAGGATTAATTATAAGTGATTAAGGAACAATTCTCAAAATCAGATATAGCGTAGACTCAATTTGAAAATGGTGTTAATCAATAGTTTGATTTAATATCTGCTGAATTAGTTAAAAAGAATTAAATCATCAAGTCGATGCTTAAAAATATCACACTTCTTCAGTAATCGTAATTATTTAATCAAATTAAAAAGGGAAAAAATTCAAATTTAATCTGATTTACCAAACAAGGTGGCAATTTTATTATCAAAAGTATCATCTTTTGAAAAAACTTCAAAAATAGCTTTTGATCAACTCAAAAAGATTATGGATGTAGTTTAAGAATTCTGTGAAACATCTTAAATTCCTTCGGAAAGTAAAGAAAAAGATCTCACAAATCTAATTCTTTTGTTAGATAGAAGGATGTTTGAATATGAGAAATCGATCTATGATCCTCAAGTTCATTTAGTGTAAAACGCAACGGTAAGAATTAATACACCAAGAATTTCAACCTCAGTAGATTCCCCAATGAAAGTGGGTAATTAAAAACAGAAAAAGACCAAATTAAGTAAATTGTTAAATAAGACAGTATATTATGAAAGTAGAAGAGAAACAATAATTTGAATATATTACATCCATAGATCATCATGACTTGGTAACATATAAAGATATTCTTGTCTTCTAGAAAATAATATAAGTTATATTTACCAAGGATAAAATTTATTCTTGTTGCTATTTGATCAAACTCTCGCCGGATTTGATGGCTTGATATTTTTATTGTTTCTCTTGAATGAGGAGCTTCATCATTTATTATATTTTCTCCTGATTCTGAGCATTCAGCTTCTTCTGTTCTTCATTACTTTGTGATGGTACCATTTAATTCACGATACCTGATAATTGGTCCATTTTCTCTTTTGTTTTTTGAGTTAATTGTTTTTTAGGAAAAAGTAAAAGGGAAGTTGATTTCAACTTAGAAAGAATTGAAATACATTTTTAGACTGTTTCATTTGCATTTTACGATGAGAGTGTTTGATTCTACAATTTGAATGTCTGCGAGAATTAACTTTTGTGATGGATAACATGAGTTGATTATTGATGAATACTGCTTTTTTTTGAATTCCCAGGAGATGATTTGAATGTGATAAATGTTTAAGACTGGCTTGCTTTTGGAGTTCTTGTGAAATTAGTTGCTAATTTGATTTCATGCTAAGATTAGAGACAAGACTTGTCAAATTTATCAAACCTGATTAGTTTCATATAATTAGTAAATACTTTAATTATAATTAGATTGTAAAATAAAATTTAAAAAGATTAATTTATACATAAGATCTGAAAAAAGTACTATAGAGTTAAATTATATCAAATCTTTAGTTAAAGTTGAAATATACATATAAAATATACTAAATTGAATTATGAGGGAATTAACAATCCTGTATTAACCATTGATTGTAATAAAAGAGATATCAGAGAACTTAACTCTATATACTGAATAATTTACAAATACCATATATATATATAAGAATCTTTCAAGACTGATAAATTTTATTTCATTATTATTATTTTAATTTTTATAATGCTCTTTACTAATAATGAGCAATGTATTCCTTTGCTGGACAATATCTTTGTCTTTTTGGAGTGTATTCCGTATTCACCAGACTTTTATATTGAGTATCATATTTCGGACTTCTTCCATAATCATTGATTTTATCACTCTCCAATTTTGGATTCTTTTGAATTCTGAATGGTTGATATGCCAATTGAGTTTAAGATTACGAGACAAAGGGTTATCCGGTAGGTAAAGGAGTTCTTAAATAATTCATTTCATTACAATTCAGTGACCATCTTTAACGAATCACTGGGTTTTTAATAGGGTTTGTTTGCAAATGAGTCTTAATACAAAGATTGGGCTGTGAATGGGATTTGATCACTCACACTTTAATGAACAGGTCTTTTAAAATGAGCAGTTTCAGGTGGTCCCCAAAATTTAAATTGAGTCTAAATATCACTTTTAATAAGTTACTTTGTAACTACTGTTGCCCAAAAAATCGCCTCGATGCTCTTGAGATTATGGTCTAAGCATTTCTTATACAGGCACTTTGAATTGTTTGTATGATGTCTATATAGATTTTAGATAGGTTACTTAATGCAAACTTTGTTGATCAATCGGTTTTTGATTGCAAAATTGAGTTGAGTAATACGTTTAATTTAATGGTCTTAGAGCATTGAATCCTGTTTGTTTATGTAGGAAATCCTTGCCATAAACAGTATTTTGAGAAGAGGAATAATTCAATTTACAAGTTTTAGAGAAATTACATTTACACTAACCACATTCGCATTTATAACAAGCACAAAATCCTTGAAATTAATTCATTCCAAATACCTAATTAATGATGGAAATAATCTGGATTGTCATTGATTAGCTTAGGAATGTTGACGCTTTAAATGTCTGGCAAAATTAATTTCCAAATTGGATGATCCAATGGAATTTCATCCACATAATTGTATTATTAATTGATTGGTTAAAAGTCTTCTATCAAATTTTCTTGACTCTTAAATCGTAATAAACTTTCTGATTTTGGAGTTCTAAGTCTGGATGCAGCTTTTTCTCGAGTTTCAGGTCTTTCCTAGACGACTTAAGTTCCACTTTTTTATTTTGATTATTGAGTGTCTGGTCGTGCCTGCATAAGAGACTTGCAAGTTTCAATTATTTATTCCTCCACATTATTGTCTGGTTATCTAATGATTCTCGAACCCAAACCAGTTTATTTTCTCAAGACTTGATATTTGACCAATCTTGGTTTATTTGTAAAGTTTTAACTATTGTTCGATTAGAATGTATATAATTTAGTATTTTCTAAATATGTTAATAAAACTACATCCTTGCGAGCTCATTAGATATTTCTTAATATATTTATTAAATTTATTTTCTTCTTTTTTTCATTATATTTTATATCAAAACATGCTTATTAAGTATCTTCTAAATTTACTATATCAACATCTACGTATAATGGATATTGAAACAAGATTGTCTGAAATACATCTTTATTTGGATTTTGAATTACATTTTATTAGAGAAATATAAAGAATACGCATCTGACATACAATAATCTAAATCTAAATTGACTAATATTCAAATTTATGTATTATTGAGTTTAGTCTAAAAATTATATATATAAATGATTATTTAACATAAATTGCCTGGATAATTGAATACAGAGAAAAATCAAATCTCCCCTAATCACCATTTCTCAGAATATTTTACAGAATTTAAAAATAAAAGGTACTGCAAAGCCAAAAGAATAAATCCTCCTCAGGAATTTAAAGATAAAAATCCAATGTTCAAGCTGGAATCAACTAAATAAGTATTTGCATTAACATTCACTTAGATAGAATACTATGATAAAACTACCCATCACTTAGTAAGACCGCAAACTGCTTGCCTTCCAGATAACAAAAGGATTAAAGAATGCTTTTCTCATAATACTACTTATCAAAAATTGCATGATGAAAAACCAAATTGTATTGCTACAATTTATCGTTTATTAGTCGATGAACCATACTAATTGAAGTTGGATTATCCTTAAACTATAATGGAAGGAACTAAATTAGATGCATCATCAGAGTATCAGAGATAATATCGATCTTTGACTCCTGAAAAAGACCTAATTTTTGGAGGAAAAAGCATTTTCAAGTAATTCATCCATCTCTTACAACTCTAGTAATCCAATTAGTCCCAACGTAGCATTATTTCGATAGAGTGAGTCACATAGGTTTTTTAAATCTATAAAAATTAAATAACATAGAATAGTCTAACCTTCTTTAGCCAAAAAACTTGCATTAGATACTTCCTTAACAATACCCAATATTCCAACTTTCTTGGGGCAATATGAAACTGTTAGCAAACGAGATTTTTCAGAGAAAAAAATCAAAGAAATCCCAAAAAGATTTAAATTTAATCAGCAAAATTGAATTTCAATTATATCTTAACTAAAATACAAATATTATTTTATATTTTTTTGAATTCAATTCAAAATCTAATCAATATATAAATTGTAGAAATCGTTATTGTTTGTAGATATTTATTAAATTAGTTTTTCAAGCTAGAGAAAAATGAAATCAAAAGACATAGAGCAAAACAGCAAAGTCAATAATATAAAAACAATTCCAATCGATTCAGCGTAGGATTGCAAGAAATACTAACATGCTAATACTTAAATTTATCAGTAGTAAATCAACCATTCCTGCATAGAATCAAACAAGCATTTCTCAGTCCCAAATTATTACAAAAGTTTTTAAACTCAGAATATTTAGTTGTATTTGCCTCTACGTGTTAAAACAGTAAGGGATTAACTGTTAGTAGAAAAAGAAATTATTGAGAAGGTCTACTAATTCGAAGATTCAACAGAGTGGTTCAAAGGTATATTAATTATGCAACTCAAATTTGGTTACTGTAAATATTACAAGAAGAAGCAATATTATTATGAGGATATTTTTGTTGTGGACTCAAACTTGGAAAAGGTCTGATTGTCTATGAAGATGGAACACATTACGTAAATATTATACTTAATTCTAGTAAGGAGACTTTTTTGCTGACAAAATTCTTGGGGATAATTGTACGTTTCAAGACTTTGAGGATGTATGCCCCAAAAACTAAAAATTGTAAAAAACAACAAAATTAGAATTTCCTAACGGGGCTATTTATGAGGGTTAGTTTTTAGATGGGAAAAGACATGGAAAAGGGATATACACTTGGAAGGATGGTATTAAATATGAAGGACAATTTGAAAATGATAAAATCAATGGATTTGGAATCATGGAATATACCGATAGTCGAAAATACAAAGGGGAATGAGTGAATGGAGAGATGGAAGAGTTTGGACATTTTATATGGCCAAACTCAGAAGTGTATAAGGGATCTCATCACTAAAGTAAGAAAAATGGATTTGGAGTGTTTAAATATTTTAGCGGAATAATATATTATGGAGGATTTGTTAATGGGTTGAATCATGGTACTGCTGTCCTAATGTAATATAATCATCACCTAAAATTTCAAAGCAGGAGGAAGGTTTATAAATAGAATGAATAATAATTTCACAATATTTTATTTCTTTTTAGTTTATTAAAAAATTCCTTTTTTAAATTTTATCAATTAGTTGACAACATTTTTTTAATATTCAATCATTGGATTGGATGTAACTTTCAAAATAAAATCAATACTCAGATTTCAAGCTATTTACTAAATCAATTTTATAAATAAGATAAGTCAATGAATTGGAAGATATACTTGGGAAAATAGACCTAATTATAAATAATGGGTTTTATTAACAATAAATTGATTTGATATATTTATGATAGTTTTTAAACAGATATTATGGAAATGGTTGAATCAGAATATCTTACTTAATTTGTATACTTATATTACATATAATTATAAGTGCAAGAATCTCATAGGTGGATTGTATGAACATTTAACACATAATTTAAGAATTATATATTTGATGTAAAGATGAAAGATGATGTTGTCTTGATTTATGAGTTTTGTGTTAAATAATTATCATATCTTAATATTCGAAAAATCAGCACTTTTAACAACCTTTTCAGCTGATTCAGCAACTTCTTATTCTCTGATATACTCGTTTTTCATGTCTTAATATATTTTAGTTTCTTCAGCATAGCTATCATTTTCTATGTTTAATTGGGATTAGAATCTTTATCTGTCTGCATCTCTTTAAGCTGAGTATTCTGTTAATTCATTGATTTTAGCTAATTATAACATTTGAGATAGATACTTATGGTTGCTTCTAAATCGACTGTGATTTTGCTGATTTATTTACCAAATTCAGAAAATTCATGATCTAATTATTCAACTCTTTCCTCGAATTCTTTTTAATTTTCGGCTTCTTATGCTGTGGCATCATTGATTGCATCTACAATTGCATTTCTAAACTCATTCAATTTATCTAAGATAGTTCCAACAATATCTTAATTTGAGAAATTTTATTCATTTGCTAATTAAATTAAAGCCTTTATTAATGGTCCATGTTTGCTGTGAGCTCTGATTCTTTGTTCAATCATGTTTAATTGAACATGAATTTTTCTAATATTTGATGTTGAAACTTATTCAAGGGATTAGTTTCTTAAACTGTAAAGTAATTACAAAGCTTGATCTGTTGATTCAACAGCTAAATTATAATCTGCAAGTTGAGCTTCGAATTCTTCTTTTTCATTTTCTCTCTTTAATTCTACTTCAGCCAAAGTCTTTCTAGATGAATGTAATTTAATATTTATACCTATTAGCCTCTTAATAGTCTTGAATTTATTCAATTTTGTTTTTTAGGTTTTCTCTTCTTGGGTAAAGTAAGTTTTCAAGAGTGTCTTAAGTTCTTTGATAATCAACGAAAGCCTAATTGATTTCTTATTCCAAAGTTGTCACGATTTTGTGATGTTCATTAGTTCTTTATCCAAAATTAAATTCCAAAACATCTAATTCCTCTTATAAATCAGCTACTAAGTCTTCTATAGCCTAGACTAACTCATCAACAGGTCCTTATGATTATGAATGCAATGCCATCATAGATAACAAAGTTTATCCCCATTTAGATTTATGCAAGTCTTCCACATGCTTATGAATTGTTTTTTTATCGAAATGGGCTGCCAAGCTGAAAGTTAGCAATAATGCTATGATGATAACCTTCATTAATTTATATATAAATTAAAAACGAATTCTAAAGCATTTTATTATTATTATATTTTTAACTTACTTCAATTTACTACAATGATTAAATCATATTAAACCCAGATAAATTGGACATATGTTTGTTAACTTAACATCTATTATTATTAAAACGATAGAACTCAGGTTAGTCTTAAGTAAATTTTCATAAGAAATCTAATTAAGATGGAAATCTAGTAATCACATATCTATAAAATATTAGTAGAGGAATAAGAATGTTAAATTTTGATAGTAAATTTTCGAGAAAGAAGTCATTAATCGTAATTAGATTAAAATTATTTTTCTTGTCAAATTAAATATAACCGTTAATCAGTAATTAACCAAATCTACAAAGTGAATATCTTGTATTCATGATCATACATGAATGTTGTTTAGTAAAATTGGAATAGTAGAAAATTGATTCAAAAGATTTTGAAGAAATATTTAGCTACTAATGGAAGATTCAACTTAGCAATAATCTAAAAATTAATCAACATAGTTTATTATAATATAAGTAGCTAAGAGTTAGATTTGGATTTAAGTAAATTGTATAACAATCTAAATCAAAATATTGTAGATTTAAGATGAAGTAATAATGCTTGAATTGACTTCTACAATTTTTCATCACAAATCAAATAAAATAATCAAACAAAAGCATCAAAAAAGGATATCTATCTTTAATCTATAAAGTAAAATAAAATCATAAGTTTGTTCATTCATAGAATGAAGATCTAAAAGATCTAAGTGATCTCATTTATTTATTATGAATGAATTGTCTTTCTGAGTTGTTGTTACTGAGTATTATTTTCTCCTATTATTCAAACTATATTTTTCTAGGAGATATAAAATAACTATTTTTATTTATTTTTTTCATTCTTTCTTTCAGGAGTTCAAATTTTTTTTCATCATCTTCCTTAATCTTCTAATTTTTTATGATTTTTCTGTGTTAAAATATTTTGTGTATATCTTCCTTGCATCTTTGATTACTCGCATTCTTATTATGAGGTTAAATGATTTTGTTATTATTACTGCTATAAATGCTTGGTTCATGCCTTATCATTGTGCTTTTGCTTCTCTAGATCTTGCTTTTTTCCTCTTCCAAAAAATTTAAACTTTAACTTATTAATTAGTAGATAAGTTTCCCTAAAGAATTTTGCTATTGAGGTATTAAATGATAAAGCTTTTTGCACAAAATAATATTTGCATAATCAATTTTCTTCTCGATAATAGTCTCCACCATCTAGGGTAAACTGCAGCTCATCAATAATTGAGCCAAAAGCCAATCCTATATTTTTACTCCTTTAACTAACAAGATGAAAGCCTGAACACATAAGAAAACATCTGTCGCAGGTTTTGCAATCTAAGTTTCAATGAAAAAACTATTACAAGAAACTTGTTTTTATTTAGTTATCTAGCCAACTATCTCAAAGTTTCCTAAGACATTTGCAAGATAATTAATATTATAAAAAATAATCCAAATAGAAATTATGCATTATGTGAGACATTTGAATCCATAATTGCAATAAACACCTTGGAACCATCATTCCAATTAATATCAATCAAATAACTAATTATTTGGATAGTTTTTCTTTGTATATTAAAATTATATCAGCAATAATGAGTCTTGCAATTCGTATTATGATAATATAATCACCAAGATTTATTAATTAAATGCTAAATACATATTAGATATGAAGTAATTAAGATGATGAAAAATAAGAAGACTTTTATAAAATAAGGAATGAATTAAAGATGATGATTAAATGTAAATTAAGTTATTATCAATAAAATTAAATAAATCATTACAATTTATTGAAATAAATAATTAAATCAATTACGATGATTGTCATATTGTCTTTTTTATAATTAGTTTATTATTTTTATGCTGATTCTAGTAGATATTGTGAAAGACCTTCTTTCTCTTTAAAATTCTCCCAATTCATGAGAAGATTCTGAAGTGTTTAGATGGTAATGACATCCCAAAAACCATCGGTGGCTAGAATTAAATATTTAGAGTTTTCGGTCAACTACAATTTAGTGATTTCAGGGATGGCAGTTAATCCATGTTCTACGTACTTTGGATCACCAAAAGATCTGCTTACTGCCAATTCTCCATTAATTCTAGCCTAATTTCTTTTTAATTGTGTTTATACTTAATGGTCAAAACAAATCCGTGGTTGTCAATAATTCTTTTTGACTCATCCACTCTATCAGGCTTATGTTCCTAATTTAATTTAGTGATTTAGAAATCTTTATCAATCAATACGCAGGCACTGTCACCAACATTGATTACAAATAACTCTTTACCTACATTGATAACACAAAGAGCAGTGGAGCCTCCGTCTTTCATCAACAGATGTTACTATTTCAGAATGTCAATATTCATTTAATTAAAACCTAATTTATATAAGGGTTATCAATACTCTCTAAAATGGCCTACTCAATATCAACATTGAAAAACTAATTATTTTTCAAACGATAGTGCAGTTGTTCTCGAAGTAACTTGGACACATATGACCCACCATGCCCATCAAAGACCCCAAAATAAAATTACTATTATTTTCCATCAAAGTCTGCGATGGCTTAAAACTAGTCAGTTATTGCAATTACAACATACCCTATCTTCCATAGTGATTCTTCCACATCTTTTAGCACTAACCTCACCATAAGTTATATTGTCGATCTTTAATTACATCGAAATAGTCATAATATTCCCTCAGATAGCCAATAAAAAGTATACTTGCCATCACTGTCTAAGTAAGGGGAAGTTTTCTCTGAAGAACTCGAGCTCGTTAATTCGATTTTTAACTTATAAGTCTTTTTCATGCAGTGCAACCAATTTATAAAATAATAATATAAAATCAATTAATTTATCTATTCCTTAGTTTATAAGTGGATTCAGTTAACTTGACCTTTTTTCTGATACTTGGTTCTGTTTCAGGAACTGGATTTTGACTTGCAAAATTAGAGGAAGGTTGATTATGATCGATAAATTTAGAGATGGCTTCTTAATACTCCTCCAGTGAGATTTTGCCATCACTGTTCTTGTCAATTTCTTAGAGTAATTGATCCCATTGATTTTCATCCTAAACTTAGATTTTGCCATTGAAGATTTTTTTAATTTCATCAATTTCCAAAAAGCCATCTCCATTTTAATCAAGCAAATTGAATGCTTCCTCGAGTTGATCATGAGAAGCAAGTTTCTTCATGTCGACTGCAGCTGTCAAGAATTCTGTAAATTCAATAAACCCATTTTTATCAGTATCAACCCTATTGAATAAATCCTCCACATCAATATCATCGTTGCAATATGCTCTTAATTCTTCCATACTTAGTTTTCCATCGCCATTCTTATCGAGTTTCTAAAAGGTTTGTCGCAACTGCTTATACTTCTCTTGAGTCAAATTCTACTGTATCATGAGATGGAAAGTGGCCTAAACCATTTTGCTTTCACAACAAAATCTAGATAATTTCTGTAGTCTAAATTGCATCTCTTGAGATGATATTTCCTTGGTTACTGATTGAGTCTATTTTTGAATCCATTCGCTTTCTAAAGCTTATTAGGCACTAAACCTTTTCACAGGATCGGACTGTAACAGATTTTTTAATAAATTCTTGGCGTCATTGGAAACTGTCTTCCACACTTTCAAATTCAGATTGATTTTAGATTTAGTGATTTTCTTTTCGATTTCACTTGTCTTGTTCCCTGGAAACGGAGTCTCACCTGAGAGTAAAATGTATAGGATCACTCCACATGACCATAAATCACATTTCTTATCATACCCTTTTTCTAAGAGAACCTCAGGTGCTGCATAATCAATTGTTCCTATCTTCTACTTGATTGAAATGAGATCAGTCATGTCTTTGCTCAATCCCCAATCTATTATCTTTATGTGTTGATCCTTAGGATCGATGAGGATGTTTTCAGGTTTGATATCACGATGCATAATATTTTTATCATGAGCATAGGCAATAGCACTCAGAATCTATTTGAAAATGTATCTCACTTCATCCTCTGAGAAGATTTGATTTTTCTTAATTCTCCTGTGGATTTCATCAAATAACTCAGTCCCTTCACACAGTTGACTTACGATGTAATAATAGTTGTCATCTTGAGCTATCTCATAAATGGCCATGATATTGGGATGATCCAGCTTTTTCATGTTCTCAATCTCATTCTGATCTGTGAAATCTTTTTTAGCTATGATTTTCAAGGCTCTCAATTCATTTGCTTGGTTTTTTACTTTGTATACTTTTCCATAGCTCCCTTAGCCTATGAGTTTGATCCTCTGATATCTCTACATGATATCGTTCTTAATGTTAACAATCAAATTCCCTGAATTGACTAACATAAATTTATTAATGGCCCAATTGACTCGTATCAGTTCAAGTTTGAAAATGGGAATTGTGGGCATGGCCAACGTCGGTAAGGTAACATAATTCAATTCTATGAAGAGTTCTACATTCAACATGTTGAGCAAACAATCAGTGCCAGCTGAAAACTTCCCATTTTGCACCATTGATCCAAATTAAGCAGTAGTCAAGGTCCCTGATCCCAGATTTGATTATCTATGTTAGATTTTCAAACCCAAGTCACAGGTCTTCTCTACTCTAAGTATTATCGATATTGCAGGGTAATCATGAAAATAATAATAGTTTAGTGAAAGGAGCATCTGAAGGATATGGATTAGGAAATGAATTTTTGGCTCACATCCAAGCTGTTGATGGGTTGTATCAGGTTGTGAGAGCATTTGAGAAGGAGAAAATTGTACATACTGAAGGCACCATGGATCCAATAAGAGATTTATAGATTATTTCAGAAGAATTAATGGCCAAGGATTATCAGTTTGTTTCAAAGAGAGTCGATGAATACAGCAAAAAAATTAAAAAGTATGAAGCTAATAAAAATGTTTCAGTCGAAGCCAGAGAAATGGTAGAATAATATAAAGTCTTACAAAAATGCGATGAACTATTGAAAAAGAAATAATGGGTTCGATATCAAAAATGGACTGATTAAGAATAAATACAATTAAGGAAAATTTAATTATTAACTGCAAAGCCATCCATTTACTTAATAAATTTATCCAAAGAGGATCATGATGCCTATGCAGCTAAGAAACAAAATAAGTATGCAAAACCTATTGAATAATGGGTATCCAAAAATAGTCCAGACAGCAAAATAGTCTATTACTCTGTTGAAAATCAGGACGAATAATAATTATTAGATCAAATTATCATTGCAGGATACGATTTATTAGGTTTGATCAGATTTTTCACTGTTGGTTCTGATGAAGTTAGAAGTTGGACTGTCAAGAAAAACATCAAAGCACCTCAAGCAGCTGCTGTCATTCATTCAGATTTTGAAAAAGTATTATTTATAATAATAAGGGATTTGTTAATGCTGAAGTCATGTCTTTTGAAAAATTCAAAAAGCTTGGGGATAATGCTTTGGATGTCTATGAAAAGAAGTTTTCAAAAGAAGGAAAAGATTACATCGTGAAAGACGGTGATATTATCCACTTTAAAACCAAGTCATTTAAATGAGTCTAAGTGTTTGTTTATATTTATAATTGTTAATTTAGAATATTATAATAGTCTTATATCTTATACTTTTGAACTATATAGATATCAAATAAAGTCTAACTTTTATTATTGCTACTATGCTGATTGTTATGGTTATGATTTTTAACCTACTGCCAAATTAAGTATATTGTCAAATTCATTTTCTGGTTTCTTTTATTAATTAGAAATATCTAAAATAATAAATCAATGTTACTGCTAATGACTGGATATTATTACTAAGGGAATCCCTATTATTGATAGGGTTGATTCTATTAGTATGGGATAGGTTAAGTTGGTTATTGTTAGAATGCTTAATACTTCATTTGTTGTTATCCAAACTATTATTGTTGATATAATTATTGTAACTTTTAATAGAATAAATTATTACATTTTATTATGGGGGATATTACTACTGAGGGGGATATTGTTGTTATTAAGGAGGATATTGTTATTAGGGTGGGTATTATTATTAAGGAGGGTATTATTATTATTAAGGAGGGTATTACTATTGTTATTAAGGAGGGAATGCGTTCAAAGCAGAATAATTGGATTATTGTTGAACTTATGAAATAGGGGGTTGCCCATAAAGTTAGGATTGAATTGGTTATTATCCAAATTACTAAACTGGAGGTATTTATGAAATTGGTGGTATCTATGAAATAGGGGGTATTTATTATTATTATTGAGTGATTGTTTGTGGCACTTATTATTATTATTGTTATGGTGAAGGACCAGTCATATCGACTTCAAATAAATCAATTCTTAGAGACTATAAACATTCAAATTTTACATGTTTTATTATTTTTCAGGTTAAACAGCCTATGTTGGTTAAGGTCCCTTCTATTATGCGGCTGGTTTTGGTTCATCATACTCAAATAAATTTAACAAGTCTATCTATTGAGGTTTTGGCTATATAGGTTGTTGAAACTGTTAGGGTTGTGATTATCCGGGAGGTGGAATACTAAAGGGATTTTATTATTATTGGAAGGGGGCTTGTTATGCAATTTGTGGTTGGGGTTATGGTTGTGGAAGGACTTGTTATTATGGTTATTATGCTTGTTCTGGTCTGAACGGATCAGGTTTTTTGTGCTTCTTCAACACTTCATATCGAGCAAAGGTCTAATAAATCATAAAACAGGTGTACTTTAAGTAAATCATCATTCAATTCTAAGCAAAAGTTCATCAAACCCTCATCGTTGTTTCCCATGTCAGTGATCAAACTATTTATAAGTAAAATAGGGTACTTTCTTAGCTTTTCTTCGACTCCTCTCAAAGTGGTGATCATATCTTTGAGGATTTCGTTCTTGCTTGCATCTTCTTGTGGATTTGCATTGTCAATGATTTCCTAGGGTGAATAAATTGGGATACATTGGTCAAGGTGATGTTGGATTTGACTATTTCTAGATCACGTCGGAGTTTATCGTTTTTGGAGCTGCCCTTGTTATATTAAATAGGAATTCTTACAGATCCTAAACTGTTTGTTCTTGCTCCTGAAGAGTATGCGGGTTGTGGCTTTCTGAGTACTGCATATTTGCTATCGTAATTATGGGGTATTTGATCTAAAAAGCAGATGCTAGAAGACAGTTACGTTTAGGAGTGATTTTTTGCAAGAATTGGAAGAAGGCAGGAAATAGATCCTGGTGTGATTGCATAAGTGACTTGAGTACTGCGATCACTTAGAGTAATCTTTGCTACATCTAATGGGTGTAAATGAGTGAATTACTTGGGCATTCATTTGTGGGTTGAGGAGGGTATTGAGTCTTTGAAGAAAGTCATTGGTAGCAATCTGAGTGTAGAATGGTGTTTCGCAAGTGAAAGCAAGATATTCAATAAGCTCCATAGTGAGGGCTTGCACCTTGCCATTACGAAGCTGCATGAGTCTCTTGCCTATTGCCTAGACTGCAAATTTCGATCTATGGTTTGAATTACAATCTTACTAGTCTGCTCTTAGGTTGACAAGATCAGCCACCTATTTCATTAGTTTCTAATCCGGCATTTAGAGTGTATCCGCAGTCGCCTCATTGACTGCTCTCTCGATAGGATTCTCCATCTTTTTTTAATTTAAATTTTACAAAATACTAAAATGAGGGGGGTATAGAAGGAAGAAGTGTCAAACAGAATAGTAAGAGAGATATTTTGTATATATATAAATTTTATATAAAAATGGCATAAATTTCATAAAAGCAAAGAGGTGTCTTCTCTGAAGTCTTAGACCCAACTTTACCCAGTGAATACAATGTCAAGAATTACAATCAGGGTCCATCACCTGATTTGATCATGACAACCATAAATCGATAAACGATTCCTAAGGCAATCTCCTTGCAACGGTTACAAACATCAAGCTCCAGTAGACAGCAATTGCGATCTGATTTAGCATCTCGACAAGTACCAAGGAATCAGTTGAAGACAAGACAAAAAAACGAACAAGTTACAAGTGTAGAACCGAAAGTAAATTACTTTATGCCATTTTTAGGTGATATTACCATATGATCCCATTCCTGGTGAAGTCCCAAGGAAGGTGGCTATTGATAGAAAAAGAAAGGAGTTTCGATCTCTTGATTTTAATAGATTACTTCAGGAAGCTGGAATTGAATTTAAATAGAAGGATTAAAGTGTAGAGTGGTTGAAACTTGAATATTTTGATGATACCACATTTGATGACAACAGTAATGAAGATTGGATAAGGAGAGAAGAGGATGAAGAAGGAATCAAGCATCCTCTTTTAGGTTTAGGATTGAGAGGAGATGAATATTAATATATGGAAATATTGGAGTACAAAGATGATAAGTTTATTGGCAAATGGTTGAAAGATGATGTTAAATTAGAATTGCATAGATTATACATTTGTTTTGATGCAGAAGATCCACGTAAATATGTCAAAAGATTGAAGAATGCATTTTAGTAGAGGATATTTGCTGATGCTCTTGTTAGATACAACTATTACATAGATAACATGTCCTTGTTTGATCTCAGTGAATTAGACAATGAATAAAAGAAAAGAATTGAACAGAATGCAAAGACCAAGAAACTAGAAGCTATGGAAACTACTTAATTGCTTCTTGAAGTTAATATGGATTTCCAGAGAACTATGAATAAGATCATATTTGATAAATACTTAGATGATGAGTAACAAGATGAAAATTATCCAAAATTGAGATTGCCTGCAAAAGAGAGAAAGAGAGATGTTCGTTATTATGGCTGGATGGAACTTGAAGCATCCAAAGGAGTCATGGAAAAATGGATGTTTAAATATGATGAACCATTCATTAGAAAACCTTTGACTTTTGACGAATTAAATAAGAATTTTGGATTTTCCACTTTATATGTGAGTTAAGAGGTTGTCAAGGCTTTATAAGATATCAGACATGAATGCAATTAAGTTTTAAAAGAGAGTTTGTTTGATTTCTCTAAAAGAGAAGGTGCATTACATTTAGATGAATTCAAACACATGTAAGAAAATGCAACCACATCATTGATGTATCAATTAAAAGGTACCTGGGTGCCTACTATGATCAAAATTATAAAAGATAGGTTCGCTGAAATTGGAAAGGGATGGTTCAACATGAAAGAAACATCAAAAATCACCTATGACTTTGGTAAATTGAAGCGTATGTTAACAGTTATTAGATTGATGATGCAAGACACAATTACAACACTTATGAAATCTAATTTCGATAGATATTAAAAGACAATTTAAAGCAATATACCTGTAAATGTAGATATAAAAAACACAGATTGGGTGTTGAATAAATATGATGATGGATTTCTGGCAGACAATAGAGTTTAAGTTTTTAGTCATGATAGAAAACTACCCTTATTTTAAATAGAACTATTAGCGAAAGATGATTTCTTCTAATACACCACTAATCCAACTTTATATGTCTTAATATCGTTGCAAGCCATGAAGAAAGCTGTTGATGAAATGGCTAAGATTCCAGATTTAGAGCCAAGAATCTTGTCTGATTTACATAAATCTCAGAAATTAGAAACATTCATTAAGGCTCCAATGATGCCAATCTAAGAACCTGTGGAACCAGATCCTAACGAAAGACCCAGGAAATTTGCAGATGAAAATAAATGGGTTTGGGATACGTACTATTGTATCAAAGCATCAATTGAAGATGCCTTATAACCATTGGAGTAATACAAGACTGTTTTTAATAAATACATCCCAGTCTTAAAATTGAGACCAGATGATGTGGCTAGAGACATTGAACTAGAAGATCCTCCAAGAGAATTTGAATCAATTCGTGATGAAATCATTAAAGCTACTTAGAAGGAAAAATAATTAAATGAAGAAATTTTGGATTCTATTCATGTAGGTATGTTCGAAATACATTTGAATGAAGCTAAAGGAATATTGATAGAAAGATACTAAGGTCTTTAGAAAAATCTAATTGATCTTATTGCTAGAAGAGCTAGAAATACAAGTATCAGAATATTTTAAGAATTTGGAGATATCAAGAAGACAATTCTTGAAGAACCAGATACAATAGAAAAGTTGACAATATTAAAGGAATATATAGGAAATTTACCACAGGAGTTGGAGAAGATGAAAATAAAAATGAATTAATTATTTGATGTGTTCAAAATGTTGGAGGAATTCAATTACAGATTTCCTTTGGACGATTTCCAAAGAAGATGGAAGATTTTTGGAAGTCCAAAGGAAATAAAGGAGATGGTTGAGGTGAGAAATGGATAATTGGAGAAATTGAAAGTGAAATTCTCAGATGATGCAAAAGTTCAACAAGAAGATTTTAGAGAGTAGATTGAAAATTTGGAGAGAACTATTCAAGAATTTCATAAACATCAAGATGTGAGCAAGAATAAGGATATGGCTGAAGTGGTTGAATATGTGATGAAATAAATCAGTGAATTTCAAGAATAAGCTAGCAAATTCAATATGCAAGAGGCATTATTTGATAAACCACAAACTGATTATTCAAAATTGAACTCTATGTCTAGGGAATTCAAACCCTATTATGATTTATGGTCAAGTACTTATAAATTTAAGAGCGGCATCAAATTATGGTTGAATGATGATTTCATGAATGTTGATGCTGATGAGTGTGAAAGGATTGTTGAAGAGGGTGTCAAAAATATCTAGACTGCTATGAGAACAATTCAAGTAACAGGTATACAGAAGATTGCTGAGGCAGTAAAAGCAGAGATTGATGAATTTAGACCAAAAGTGCCTTTATTGTCAGCTCTTAGGAAAAAAGGTATGACTGTTAGACATTGGACTTAGGTGTCTTAATTGAAAGGTTTAGATCATGTCATCAATCCAGATGAGTAGGGATTCAATTTTTAGACAATTTTGAATGGTGGGTTCATGGATGTGATTGACAAGGTTGTTAATATTGGAGAAACTGCTAGTAAAGAGTACTAAATAGAAATGATGCTTGATAATATGCTTAATGCTTGGGAGAATATTAAATTTTAATGTGTTTAATACAAAAACACATTTATTCTTAAAGGGTTTGATGAAATTCAGATTGTCTTGGATGAACACATTATTAATACATCAGCAATGGTATTCTCTCCATTTAAGAAATTTTTCGAAGAAAGAATCAGTGAATGGGATAAGTCATTGAGAAAGATTCAAGATATATTAGAAGAATGGGCTAAATTTTAGTAGTAATGGATGTATTTGCAACCCATTTTTGATTCTCAAGATATTGCTAAGTAATTGCCTGCAGAAACCAAGAAATTTAAAACAGTTGATCAAACCTGGAGAACTACAGTGACACAGGCCAAGGCAAAGGAGAAAGTATTGGATGTTTGCATTGAGGATGGGTTATGGGAAAGATTGCATGAAGCCAATAAGACATTGGAAATGGTCCAAAAAGAATTGAACAATTATTTGGAAAAGAAAAGAGAGAAGTTTGCAAGATTTTACTTTTTATCTAATGACGAATTGCTAGAAATTTTATCCTAAACTAAAGAACCAACAGCAGTCTAACCTCATCTTAAGAAAGTGTTTGAGAATATCAACTCAATAGAATTTGATAAGGATAAGAAAATCCATGCTATGTTTTCAGCTGAAAAGGAGAAAGTACCTTTTGCCAAAATAGTGGATCCAAACAAAAAGAATGTTGAAGAATGGATGAATGAAGTTGAAAATATGATGAGGTTATCAGTTAGATAAGCATTAATGGTTAGTATTGAAAATTATACACAAGTAAAAAGAGAAGAATGGGTTTTGAAACACCCAGGTTAATGTGTGTTGAATGGATCGTAAGTGCATTGGACAAAAGAAGTAGAAGCAGCTATTGATTAATAGAATCTTAAAGGATATTTCAAAAGATTAGAAGATCAACTAGGTTCATTAGTTGATTTGGTTAGAACTAAATTATCAAAACAAGCAATGGTTACAATCAATGCTTTGATTGTTATTGATGTGCATGCCAAAGATGTCGTATAGAAGATGGTGGAGAGTGAAGTGTATGACAAATTTGCCTTTGAATGGATATCGCAATTAAGATATTATTGGGAAAATCAATTGGTAGATTTTGATTGCTGGGTCAAATGTGTATAAACTAATTTCCCATATGGTTATGAATATCTAGGAAATACACTCAGATTGGTTATTACACCTTTGACTGATAAATGTTATATGACATTGATGGGTGCGTTAAGATTAAATTTGGGAGGAGCTCCAGCAGGACCAGCTGGTACTGGTAAAACTGAATCAACTAAGGATTTGGCAAAGGCATTGGCAAAATAATGTGTGGTGTTCAATTGTTCAGACTCTATGGATTTTATTATGGTTGGCAAGTTCTTTAAGGGATTAGCATCTGCTGGTGCTTGGGCTTGTTTTGATGAGTTCAATCGTATCAATATTGAGGTGTTATCAGTTATTGCATAGTAATTGCTAGTGCTATTTGGAGAAAAAGCAAAGGGAACTCCTTAAGTAGAATTTGAAGGTTCATTCATTAAAATCTTACCTACTTTTTCAGTGTTTATTACAATGAATCCTGGTTATGCTGGAAGAACAGAATTACCTGATAATTTGAAGGCACTCTTTAGACCAGTGGCTATGATGGTTCCAGATTATGCTATGATTGGTGAAATTATGCTCTATTCATTTGGTTTTAAATTAGGTAGAGATCTATCAAAAAAGATGGTTACTACATTCAAATTGAGTTCAGAATAATTGTCATCCCAAGATCACTACGATTATGGTATGAGGGCAGTAAGATCTGTGATTAATGCAGCAGGTCTATTAAAAGTGTAATTCCCAGATATGAATGAAGAATAATTATTATTAAGAGCACTTAGAGATGTAAATGTACCTAAATTTTTGAAAGACGATTTACCATTATTTGAAAACATCATCTCAGATTTATTCCCTGGGTTAGAGAGACCACAATATGATTATGGTAAGTTGATTCCAGAATTATCATTGTAATGCGAGAAGTACGTGTTCAAGGAATAGCCTTATCCTGTTTAACCTGTACAACCATTCATTGATAAGGTACTACAACTCTATGATACAATATAAGTCAGACATGGATTGATGTTGGTGGGTCCAACAGGAGGTGGCAAAACAACTAATTACTAGATCCTCTCAAAATCAATGACAAAGTTAGGAGAAGCCAATGGTTTTTATAAAGTACACACCCACATATTGAATCCTAAATCAATCACTATGGGTTAGTTATATGGTCAATTCAATGAATAAACTCATGAATGGACTGATGGAGTTTTGGCCTATATGGTGAGAGAAGCAGTTAAAGACACAAGCTCAGACAGACATTGGATAATGTTTGACGGACCTGTCGATGCTTTGTGGATAGAATCCATGAATACTGTATTGGATGACAACAAGAAGCTATGTTTAAATAGTGGTTAAATCTTGACATTGACTCAATACATGACCATGATGTTTGAAGTCGAAGATTTGGCTGTTGCTTCACCAGCCACTGTCTCAAGATGTGGTATGGTTTACATGGAGCCTAGAGCCATGGGTATACAACCATTAATTGATTCCTATGTTTAAAGGTTTCCTACAAACATCAAAAATTAAGAAAAAAGGATGTGTTGAATAATTTGACTAAGTGGTTCCAATAATATGTGGATGAGGCACTGGAATTTACATACAAGCATTGTAAAGAAGTTATTCCTACAATGAGAAACAATTTAGTTTAATCATAATAGAGAATCATTGACAGTTTAATTTCTCCATATGTTGAAACTGAAATTAAGAAAGTCTCAGTTGATGAACTTGATCAATTGAATCAGAATATTGAATACTACTTCCATTATTCATTAGTTTGGAGCATTATGGTAACAGGAGATTTCTAAAGTAGATAAAAATGTGATAAGTTCCATAGATAATAGATGTAAAAATATAGAGCCAATTTTGAATATCCAAAAGAGGGCTTGATTTATGATTACTAACTAAATTTATCACCTTGGAGTGATGCATATTAATCATTTGAAATTGATTAGAAATTATAATTCCATGAAATTGTGATTCCTACTACTGATTCCACTCGTAATATGTATTTGATGAAATTGTTACTTACAAATAATTTCCATGTTTGTTGCCCAGGACCAACAGGTACAGGTAAATCATAGAATTCATATCAATTATTGATTATGGGTATGCCTGAAGATTTTCAATATGTTCCCTTAACTTTTAGTGCTTAGACATCCGCAAATCAAACACAAGATACAATTGACTCTTGGATTGACAAAAGAAGAAAAGGAGTTAGAGGGCCTCCAGTTGGAAAGAGATAAGTTATTTTCGTAGATGATCTAAACATGCCCAAGAAAGAAGAGTATGGTGCTTAGCCACCAATAGAATTGATCAGATAAATATTAGATCATTAGGGTTGGTATAATAGATAAGATCTGTAATTTGTGAAATTAGAAGGTTTGCTCATCCTGTCTGCTATGGGACCATCCTGGTGGTGGTAGAAGTAATATTACAGGCAGAGCTGTTCGACACTTCAATGTCTTAGCATATACAGAATTGGATGAAGATGTCATTAAATCAATATTTTCAAAAATAATTTAATTTTTCTATAAGAAATTTACTGAACCAGTTTAAATGTTATAGATGCAACTTATTAATAGTGTGTTAAGCATTTATAATTCAGTCAGAAGAGACTTGTTGCCTACTCCATCAAAAAGTCATTACACCTTCAATCTCAGAGACATAAACAAAGTGTTTTAAGGAATTTGCAGTATCTTACCTAAAAACTGTTAAGATCCTGCTCAATTAGTTAAACTATGGTATCATGAAAATATGAGAGTATTCCATGATAGATTGATTAATGAATAAGATCGAGTCTATTTCAAATAACTACTCACTCAATTCTTCGTTGATTTTGGATTGAAATAGGAAGAAGTATTAGATTAGGAGAGAATATATCTTTTGTGATTTTCTAGGTAACAGAGACTTAGATGTGAGACCATATGTTTAAGTATAAGGAGATCTTCAATATTTTGTTGGGTAGATGGAAGAATTATTGGATTAATATAATAAAGATGTTGGAAGTGGCAAGAAATAGATGAAATTAGTTATGTTCTTGGATGCTTGTGAACACATAACAAGAATTAGTAGAATTCTAAGACAACCTGGTGGAAATGCTTTATTGCTTGGTATTGGTGGTAGTGGTAGATAATCATTGACTAAGATGGGTACTTATTTGTAGAATTACAAATAACAATAGATTGAGGTTCTTAAGAATTATAATATGAGGGCTTGGAGAGATGATGTCAAGAAGATTATTATGTTGGCTGGTGTTGAAAATAAGTGTGTTTCATTTGTGTTTGTAGATACTCAAATAATCAATGAATAGATGTTGGAAGATATCAATGGTATTTTGAATTCTGGAGATGTCACAAATCTCTACAATGACAAAGATAATGAGGATATCACTTAGGCTTGTAAAGCCGAATGTATTAAAAAAGGACTTCCTCCTAATAGAATGAATATCTTCTCTGTCTATTTGGCAAGAGTCAAAAAGAATATGCATATGGTTATTGCCATGTCACCAATAGGAGATGCGTTTACCACAAGATTAAGAATGTTCCCATCTTTAGTGAACTGTTGTACTATTGATTGGTTTACTGAATGGCCAGAAGAAGCACTTGAAGGTGTTGGAAGAGGATAACTCGTAGAAGTGGCTTAACAATTAGATTTGGATATCAAAAATACAAGATTGGTAGATATGTTCAAGTATATGCATAAATTTGTTGAAAAATTATCATTACAATATAAGTCTGAACTTAGAAGAATTAATTATGTTACTCCAACATCTTATTTAGAATTATTGAGTTTATACATCAATATTGTACAAGATAAAAGAAATGACTTAAAAGCTTAGATTCTTAGACTTAAAAATGGTTTGGATAAATTATAAGATGCAAATAAGGCTGTAGCTGAAATGAAAATAGTCTTGGAGAAAATGTAGCCTGAATTAGAATAAGCATAAATTGAAACAACCAAGATGATGGAGCATTTGAAAGTGGAAAAAGAAGAAGCTGATCAAACTTAAAGAGTTGTAGCAGTGTAAGAAGCTGAAGCCACTCAATAAGCCAGAGAAGCTAATTAAGTTGCTTAAGAGGCAGCTGAAAGAGTCAGAGTGGCAAACGAAGAGTTAGCCCAAACATTATTGAAAGTGAAGGAATTATAGAAGGATCACTTGGTTGAATTGAAATCATTATCATCTCCACCTGAGGCCGTCAAAGTAGTTTTAGCAGGTGTTGTCATACTTACAACTGACTACATTAAGAAGTCTGGAGGTGAAATTATCACTTAGCCAGTACCTAATTAAATTGGTAAGAAGGAGGAGAATTACTTTGAAACAGCTAAGAAATATTTACTTAATGATGTAAACTCATTGTTATAAATGTTGTTGGAAAAGTTTGATAAAGAAAATATCAATCCATCTGCTATTATTAAGATGGAATAGAAAGTTACTTGTCATCCAAAATTCAATCAGAATGATGCATTCCAAGGATCCAAAGCTACAGGTTATCTGTTTGGATGGTGTAAATGTATGTATGACTTCTACAAGGTGTATACTGAAACTAAACCTTTAAGAGAAAAGTTAGCACTTATGACCAAAATTGTGGAAGATAAGAATAAAGAATTAGCAATTAAGAAAAAGGAATTGGATGAGATTAATGCAAAGATAAGAGAATTGTAAAGGGTATTCGATGATAAAAAGAAATAATAAGAAGATTTATAGAAGAAGATTAAAGAGTGCGAAGTTAAATTAGAGAGAGCTTAAAAGTTGACTGAAGGTTTGAGTGATGAAAAGGAGAGATGGGCAAAAGATATTGAAAGTCTTACTAATAGCGGTGGCTTAATACCTGGTAATTCTATTATAGCTGCAGGAATGGTTGCTTACTCTGGACCATTTATATCATAATATCGTATCAGAATGGAATAAGATTGGAGAGCTAAATTAAAGGAATATAACATTCCTTTCTCCGATTTAATTACAATGAGGAAATTCTTAGGTGATGAAGTTAAAATTCAATCATGGAATATTTGTGGATTACCAAAGGATGACACTTCAATTGAAAATGGTATCATAATAGACAAGAGTAGAAGATGGACTTTGATGATTGATCCATAATCTTAAGCTAATAAATATATTAAAACTATGGGTAAAGACTTACCAGAAGGATTGGATGTCTTAAAATAATCAGATTAAAATTTGATGAGAACTTTGGAGTTGGCTATTCAATTTGGTAAATGGGTTTTGGTTGAAAATGTTGGATTATCGTTAGATCCATCTTTGGAACCTATTCTATTATAATAAATCAGTAAGACTGGAACATCTGCTACAATACAAATTGGAGATAAGAATCTACAATATAATTTTAGTTTCAGATTCTTCATGACAACCACTCTTCCAAATCCTCATTATTCTCCTGAAACTTCAGTTAAAGTAACCATTATTAACTTTGCAATTACTCCACTAGGATTAGAAGAACAGATGTTGGCATAGATTGTGGCATTAGTGAATCCTAATTTAGAAAATAAAAAGACTGAAATAGTTAGAAAGAATGCATAAGATAAGAAAGAATTAGTTAACATAGAAGATAGTATTTTAAGAAGTTTGTCTGAAACCAAGGGAGATATTTCAGAAATATTGATGGATGAGACTCTCATCAATAAATTATAAAATTCAAAGAAATTTGCTGCTGAAATTAATCAAAGAGTGAAGGATTCTAAAATAACTGAAGCTCAAATAGATGAAGCTAGAGAATCATATAGATCAGTTGCATTCAGAGCTTCATTACTTTTCTTCTGTATTATAGATTTATCTACAATTGATCCAATGTATTAATACTCTTTATAATGGTTCATCAATTTATTCACTTTAGGTGTTTAAAATGCACCTGCATCATAGGTGTTGGAAGAGAGATTGGTTCATCTCAATAACTTCTTCACTTACATGTTATATGAAAATGTTTGTAGATCATTATTTGAAAAGCACAAATTACTATTTTCATTTATGCTGACATATAAAATACTGAGTGCTGCTCATAAAATGAATGAAGGAGAATGGAGATATTTGTTATAAGGTGCTACAGGAGATGTTCAATTACCACCAAATCCAACTGAATGGATTAGTGAGAATACTTGGCCAGAGACTTATAGAAACATCTATGGCATGTCGGAATTGATCAATTTTGATGGCATTCTATCTGATTTCATGAGTAATTCTGATAAATTTAAAACTATTTTTGATGCTCCTAATCCTCAAGATATTGAATTCCCAGAACCTTGGAATGAGAAATTAGATTCATTTTCAAGAATATTGTTATTAAAAGCAATAAGAAGTGATAAAGTGATTCCAGCAATTCAAAAATGGATTATTGAAAAAATGGATGAAAAATTCATCATCCCACCTACATTTGATTTGAGTAAATGCTACAAAGATTCCACTCCTAATACACCACTCATATTTGTATTATCTCCTGGTTCTGATCCTATTGCAGATCTAATGAAATTTGCAGAGGAAATGAGTATGACTAAAAGAATTGATTCTATTTCTTTGGGTTAAGGATAAGGTCCAAAGGCTGAGAAATTAGTTAAAGATGCTCTAGGCAGAGGTGGATGGGCATTGTTAATGAATTGTCATTTAGCAACATCTTGGATGAATGATCTTGAAAAACTTAATGAAGAAATGTAAGATTAAGGAACAAAAGATTTTAGATTATGGTTAACATCCATGCCTTCAAAATCATTCCCAACAATTGTATTATAGAATGGTGTTAAAATGACACTTGAACCACCAAAAGGTCTTAGAAATAATATGCTCAGAACTTACACCTAATTAGATGATAAAACACTAAGTGATTGTAAGAAACCTGAGGAATTCAAGAAATTATTATTCGGATTCTCTTTATTCCATGCAATCATTTAAGAAAGAAGAAAATTCGGAGCCATTGGATGGAACATTCCTTATGAATTCACTAATGAAGATCTCACTGTATGTAGAAGACAACTAAAAAGTTTATTAGATGATTATGTACTCATACCATTCAAAGTTATCAATTATCTTGGAGCAGAAATTAATTATGGTGGTAGAGTTACTGATGATAAGGATGTTAGATTAATTAAAACCATTCTGAAATTATATATTTCCTAAGAAGCATTAAAAGAAGGCTATCAATTTTTAGTCCCTACGTATTACCAACCCAATGTAGGTGAAAGATTGAATTATATAGAGTACATTGAAAAATTACCATTGAATCCTGAACCAGAAGCATTTGGATTGCACAGCAATGCTGAAATAACTAATGCTTAGAATGAAACTAGAATTCTTTTAGAAACTCTATAATCTATTCAACCAAGGACACAATAAGGAGCTGGAAAATGCAGAGAAGATGTTATTGAAGAATTAGCCAATTTCGTTGAATCTAAGACTCCTGATTTATTTGATATTGATGAAATTTCAATCAGGTATCCTACTGATTACCAAGAATCCATGAATACTGTTCTAGTTCAAGAACTTATTCGTTACAATAGATTACTAGCCATTATGAAAACTACACTCTCCAATGTTAAAAAAGCACTTAAAGGACTAATTGTGATGTCTGAAGAAATGGAAAAATTATCAAACAGTCTTTACGATAACTAAGTGCCTCAGTTATGGGCAGAAAAAGGATTTCTAAGTTTGAAACCTTTGGCCTCTTGGACTTAGGATTTACTAGATAGAATTGCCTTTCTTAAACATTGGGTAGAAAAGGGAACACCTAAAGTATTCTGGATTTCTGGTTTCTTCTTCCCTTAGGCTTTCATTACTGGTATGGTACAAAACTACGCCAGAAAACATGTCATTGCTATTGATAAATTACAGTATGAGTACATAGTGTTGGACACTCTAACTCACACAGGTGTAACTGAGAAACCAGAAGACGGAGTCTATATTTATGGAATTTTTCTTGAAGGAACTAAGTATATAATTAATTTAATTTAATTAGATGGGATTATAAGAGACATTTGATATCGTAACCAAAAGTTAAAGAATTATATTCTGATTTACCTTTAATGCATTTGCTACCATATGATCCATCATAAATTGAAGTACAACCAAAAGATCCAAAAGAAAAAAAGATATACAAATACCAATGTCCATTGTATAAAGTAGTTTCAAGGGTAAACATTCACAATAACTCTAGGCTGGTACACTCTCAACAACAGGACATTCCACCAATTTTGTCATGCCACTTGAATTGCCATCAAGAGATGATGAAGATGTTTGGATTAGAGCAGGTGCTGCAGCTTTCTTATCGCTAAGATATTGAAAATAATATATATTTTAATTTAATGCAAATATTCAAAAAATTTTAAGTTTATTTTTTATGGCATAACCTAGAAATGAAAAATTTACACTAAGAATATAGAATTCTGAAATTAATTAAGTAGCAATATAAATTTTCAATTAAAGTTATAAGGTAGTAATTCTTCTTATTTATGGAAATGTAGAAATGTTAAGGGATTTTTGACAATAGAAAATCTAGGAAATGAAGAAGAAAATATCATTTTTTAGGATTATAGAAGGTAATTTTTAAATAAATAAATAAATATAATTAAATTAATCAACTTTGTAATTAAGCATAGCAATTTAATTGTAATGGAAAGTTGGGAAAATCATTAATATAATTAATTATTATTATTATTAATATTAATTTATGTAAATAAGTTGGCTAACTTGATTAATTATCGGAATGAAGTTGTGCCTAAAAACCTCTACATTTTTTATTGAATTTATAATGATGACAAATACATGATTACAATATATATACACTAGATCAAACCATAGAATTCAGCTTGGTTTTCTTAATTCCACACCTCATATATTGATGATCCATGAGTTCGTAATATTGTGAAATACAATTTTAGGACTTTAATTTCTTTTAAGGCTAAAGTGCTTAATTATTACACAATGAAGGGTTGTAATTTAAATAATAATTAAAATTAATGAGTGCGTCACTCTCCTCTTCCAATTGATCTTTTGTCACTTAAAATGTAACATCACATTTTACGCCCTAAAATAATGAACAAAAATTCTTTACTTATTGATGGAGAGGAGAGTATAAATAGAAATCCTACTTTTCTGTTGGTTTCGTTAAAGGCTTTGCAAACTCCATAATGTTTTTGTAGTAATCAACATTTGTGCTCCCTGGTTTTAAAGATATTCTTGAGATTTATTAATAAAATTTTCTTACTCTGGAATTCCAATCTTCATGCAGGAATCAACAAAATATTGTATTGAATAACCTAAATCTTGAATTAATTTGAAGTCATAGGTCTAAGCTGAGATATAAAATTGGTTTAAGCCCTTCAAATACTTATATTGAATCGATCCAAATGATCTGTAATTCTCTTTGGGAATCTAAAATAATGTTGATAGTTTTAGATTAATTACAAAGTCTTTATTTTCCTACAGTAAACCAGAGTTGAGTTGTTCATAGTACTACCTAACATATTCGCTCAGTTAGTTCATTTAAAGATCACCCATGCTTTATAATCTTTTAGTTACATATTCCCAAGGGGTTTCTGAAAAATCAAGTTAAGTATAACATAATTTGATCATCCCAGCAGATTAATCCACAATTATTTTCGAAATTTTTTTATAAGGGTTTTGGCAACTGATGCCAATTTTCAGCATATCATGCTATTGAATGTATCGAGCATCAGCAAATAGATGGAAATCCTTAAAAAATATTATAAACTTAAGATACTCCTTTCATTCTGAAAGTACTCATGGGATTTAAAAACCTTTTCGGAAATACTATTAAAGATACTTCCTTTCCTTTCAAAGAGTCAGTCTCTTCACCATTAATTTGAGTAGAAGCTTGTAATTGATCGAATTACATGTTAATTTATTTTATTTAAATTAATTGATCTCGAAAATATTTATAAATAGAGTTTCTTCAGTTAATTATACATTTCATGCAATTTATTTATAATCTTATTTTTAATATTTCTGAATGAATTTATTAAATTAATTAAGTTGAAAAAAGTAGTTAAATATAAAACTTAACTAAATTATATTAAACAGAATTCTTGCCATTTCATTTTCTTCTAAAATGTTGCTAAAGAAGGAATATGGATAAAAATTTGGAGTTCAATTTCATAACTTTTATTTTCTTTTACTATATTACAATTTTTTGATGGATGTGTAAAATGATGTCAATAATAATCACCTTAGTAAGATAGAAACAAAGTTTGAAAATAAAAAATTTCGATTTAATATTTATGATATAACCCACCAATTTTCAAAAATTCTCTTTGGACATCATTATTTTAATATTTTTTTGAATTATATTAAAATTTTTATAGCCAATTCCAATGTCAAATATCTATTAACAATTATTTAAGAACTATTTTACATAAAATGTTATCTTGCTTATTATTGAAATAATCATCCAATTATATTTGTGTATATGATCTATAAAAATGAGATACTAAAATTTCCCGTTTTAATGAATAGCTTTAAATATAATAAATCATAATGAGTTTTTATTAAGCAAGAAATGAAATTTCGTTTTTTATTGAAATTATTGTCTAAATGTACCTTAATTTAATATAAAAAAAATTTTAATTTCATTTCCTCCGATTGAGAAAATGTCCTATTCTAAGGGTAAAATCCAAGTTAATATGTGCATAAAGGATTTACCATTATGGATACAATTATAAAATAGATAATATCTCTAAATTAAAAAATGATAATTTAGATTTTTAATAAATTATTTATCATTGACTGTTCTTTTTGTCGATTTAGTAGAAGTCTGATATGAATGAATTTTGATTAATTTATTAATAATAACACAGAAGAAAATATATTTTTATTCATTTATCTATGTCATTTAAGGGTCATAGAAGATTATTCAACATATAAGATAATAAAAATTAGATTAGATTTCAAGGTTAATTAATTTTTAATAGATTGATTCTAAATAAATTAATGCTGAACTATAATGTATTTGAAGGGTAGAACTATGTTAAAAAGTAAAGTCAAATGATTAAAAAGCTATTCAATTAATGAGTAAAAATAGAAATAAGGTAAGCAATAAATGTATTCATATTTCTAAATTTTTGGTGAATTTATTTCATTATTATATTTTTATATGATTCTAAATCACAAAGAAGATAAATAAATAATTATTGCAATAGCAGGTGTTCCAGGATCTGGAAAAACATATTTCTGCAAAAATGTTATATGTTTACAATACCCAGATGCAAAAGTAATCCCTATGGATGGCTACCATATATATCGTAAAGATTTAAATGAAGAGGGTATAAAAAGGAGAGGAGCAGCTTTTACATTCGACTATTAAAGATTCAAAGCAGATTTAACAAATTTAAGAGAAACTGGCACAGGGTCATTTCCGGATTTCTAACATTCTATAAAAGACCCTGTTGAAAATGCAATCCATATTACTAAGGAAGACAAAATAATTGTAGTGGAAGGATTGTATTTATTTTTAAAGGAATGGGATTTAAAACATCTTTTCGATCAGAAATTCTTTATTAATAAGGAATTTAATGCATAATTGATTGGACAACGCCATTATGTTTGTGGTATTGAGGATACTTTAGAAAAAGGCATACAGAGAGCAATAGAAAATGACAAAGTCAATGCTGAGTATATATTATAGAATAGTGATTTTTCTGATGTGACATATATAAAATGATCAAAGAATATCAGGTGAAACTGAATTATATTTACTCTTATATAAACAAAATGTTCCTTTCTTACTTTATTTAAGCCTTCTATCTATGATCGAATTAAACTTAACCACGTTCTCAAATTTACAATTATCTACTTTTGAGATTGCTAATCTATTTGAAGGTAAATCATTGGTTTTAACAAAAATTGTATTATAAAATATGGTTGTAGAATTCATCGAAGTAGAATCTTTTAATAAAATGGTGCTTAGTCTTTATAAAACTAAATTAATCATACTATAACTTTGGGCATTAATTAAGAATAGGCTCTTGTAAAGATTGAAATTTTTATCCAAGTTAATATGCAGATACTAAATAACTGCAGAAAAGAGCTAGCATTTATTCATTTTATCATCTTTAGAAATTCTTCCTTATATTCTCCATAAACACAATTTATACAATTTAATTAATCTATAATTGATAAATATCATACAAAGAGAATTCAATTTAATTGTTGAAAATTAATTTTACACGATTTATTATACATCATTCAAACTTTAATTATTTATTTGCTTAGCTGAAGAACACCATAAAACTAGGAACAGAATGTTTCAACATATAAAATAGATTTTAAATTTATTGATATAATGTATTTTAATCATGAAGGCTTTTTAGTTCTGTAATAATCCATTAGACATGAAACTTTGCTTTTGTCATCAGACAATGTTTACCTATTGCTATCTTACATTCTTAGAGCCTCGATTTCAGCAAATAATAATACCATTAGTCCATATTATTATTCATCAACTTTTGGATTGCTAAATGGTTGAATGAATATTTGACTAGTGTTTGATTACTCAGTTTTCAATTCTTCAGGGTAAGGACTTTATAACTCGCCAAGGTTAAATTTGCTAGTTTTAGCACTAGATGAGCTTTCTCTATTAATCTATGGTGTGCTTTTCTTTGAAGAGTTTCTATATCTTGAAATCTCTAGAGAAAGCAATGCTATTTTGTTTTCATATTCTTCAAGTTTGCTAGAATTAGTTAATAATATTTAGTAATCTCTTTATAATTAAATATATTTCTATTGAAGTTATTGGAACTTTGATTAGAATTCATCAGTAATATCTTCTGAAGTTGAAATTATACTTGATTTCTAATAAGTTATTTGCACTTATGATTCATATTTTAATCTCAATTCATTTAACTAAAATTCTATACCTCTTATATAGTTTTCAGTTTCTCTTAATTTTTCATTTAGTATCAAAATTTCTTATTCTTGCTAATATAATTTTTATGTCTTTTCATCTATAACTTTGCTTAAATTCATATTTAATTATTGCAATTCCATAACTCTTGAATTATCTGTATTATCCTTTACCTAAGATTATTAGGATTTTTTCTCGCTTTCTAAAGATCTCAACAGATCTTAAATATGCTGTTCTTATTTAGCAATTCTCTATTATTAATTTTCTATAACAATCTGATTATTTTCAATTTCTTATTTTAATGAACGTAATTCACTTGTTTAGTTCATTACTTTCACATTGAATTTGTCAACGAGCATAGCTTTTTAATTAAGTTAAGAGTCTTTATCTATTAATTACTTCTTTAAAGCTTCTAAATCTTTTAATACTAAATCATATTCCGATTTTAAATTAGCCACTAATTATTATAATTCTTCACTTCTAGCATTCGAATCTAAATTGGATTAATTATTCTTAACTGCATTTAATTCATTCCAAATCTTATTGTAATCATCATCTAATTCATTAAATTCTTCTTCTTTAAGCAATAATTCGTTTTCTAATTTTTTAATATCATTACTTGATTCACTTAATTCTGCCTATAATTATTTAATAAAGATCTCCTATTCTTCAAATTTTTTATAATACTCTTTATTTTTTGCATTTAGCTTTTGTAATTCATCCAACAGTTGTTAAATTCTAAATTCGTCTTCATTAATCTATTTTTCATTTTAGTTAATTATTGTTTCTTATTACTCAATTTTTGTAAATAGTTCTTTAAGCTAATTCTCAGACGAATTATTTTCTTGATATGAGCTTCTTAATTCAATTTCAGTATTGTCAATCTATAGGTTTAAATTGGTTATTTAAATTTGGTAGTTATTTATTTCAATTTTCATATTTGTAATTTATTGCAGTAAATCTGCATTCGTTTAATTTAACTTGCTTATCTCATATTCTAATGATAACCTCTATTATTTTAATTAATCTTTCTCATTTACTTCAAGCTTAAGAGCATCTAATTAAGTGTATAAATCCTTTATAGTCTTTTAAAAAGAGTTCTACTTAAATAATAATTCTCGGTTAGATTCTTCTAAGGCTTCATTCTTTTTGGTATTACTTTCATAAATTTCTTGTTGTTTCCTCACATAAAGATTCAATTTATCTAATTCTTGGTCCTTTTCATCAATTATCTGCTAAAGTTCTTAATTTTCAGAGGAAAGTTGTAGAATTTGATTACCTTGTTCTTCCAAACTTTGAATTTATTAATCATTTTAATCCTATAATGATTTGTTTTCCTCTTAAAGCTTTTCAATTATCTATTAGTAATGTTGTTAAAGCTCTAATTTTTAATTTATAAATTATTGTTTTTAATTCAAAATTGAAGATTCCAGTTCTGAAATTTAAAGAAGGTGATTCTAAATTTCTAATTTAAATTGTTAAATTTGATTCTAGAAATTAATAATGATAGTATTTGAAGAATCGTTCTTTCCTTAAAATTATTAATGTTAAAGTTTTAGTTAATTAATTTCATCAGCATCAATTTATGCTTAATGTCTGAGATTAGCTATTTGATTTTATAACTCAGATATTTGATCTTGAAGATCTATTTAAGTCTATTAGAGTTCTTAAATTTTGTGATCCTTTTAAATCAAGATATCCTAATATTTATTTAAAGATTGCTAATAATTTAATTTTTATTCTGCATTATTAAGATTTAAATCTTATATTTCATTATCTTACATTTACAGTCTTTCATTATAAGATTATAATTAAGCATCCTATCGTATAATTTGAATTTCTAGATCATTATCTTCTGACAATTAATTCTTTAGCAATCTTACTTGATCTTCCAATTCAAGAATTTTCTTATTCAGATCCTGATTCTAACTTGTCTATAGATTCAATTAATCACTCAGATCATCATTGTGAGTATTAAGACTTAAATTGTCAGATGCTAATTTATCTTTATCAACCATAATTTTATTGTTTTCTTTTAGAATTTCCTAAAGTTGAGATTCCATTTAAACTTTAAAAAAATTGATTTATTCTACTTCATCTTCCAATTCCTCATTCTTTTATTCAGTTTAGGATAATTTGAGTCTGAGTTCATTTAATTAGGTTTCTAATTATAATTATATTTGGGATTGATTTAAAGAATTCTTATTCTACTCTTATTCTAATAATTATTTAAGTATATGTATTTCTTGATTGAGATCTGCAATAGTTTATTCCAAATTGGCAATGCTAGACTTATTATTGATTATATCCTATTTGTATTTATCCAAATCTTAATTGAGTTTAATCACAATCTCTGGATACTATTCTAATTAATCTCTCAACTCTTGATTTATGTTGCATTACAATGTAAACTATTCAGCCTTAGAGATAACATCGTGGAGAGCCTAGCCTTGCAGTAATTCTTAAATTTCATCATATTAAATGGACCTGTTTTTGAGCTCATCCACCAAATCCTTCAACTGTTCCAAGGTTATTTGGCCAGCTGTAATTTGGTTAACTAGGTCAGTTACATGAAGATGCTATTATTCTAGAGATTGGTATTTATTTTGAAGTTCAAGTTAATCTCTATTGATGCAATCTAATTTGGTTTGGAGTAATTTGATTTCTGTAGATTATTGATCAATGACAGCTTATGAATTCTTGTTTTGAAGATTTGCTTGATCGATGTCTTAATTAAGTTGTTTAGTGAGAGACTATAATCGTTCTACTTCAACAGCCAATCCAAAGCAAATAACTTCGATTTATAACATTAAAAATAAATGGGATGCGTAACATCAAATGGAAATAAAAAAGTACATAATTCTATTATAAACAGTTAGAAGACATGAAATAAGGGTTTGTGATTAGAATTCAGCAGCCTGACAATAAAACTGAAAAACAATTTAAATATTTTGATGAAAAATAGAAGAGCGATTTGATAATGAATGTCATGAATGGAATTTGTTTCAGTGAAAAGGTCTCAGATAAATGCGATGGGAATTTCATTTCCCTTTATGATCAGGCTGATGATAGATTTCATTACTATGTCCAAAAACTTGATGGTATTTGTGAGCATTCCATCTTAGGGATTGAAATAGAGAATCCAAATGAACCTACCAAAGGCAAAATATGGGTTCCTTATATCAATGAGAAACGACAAGATTGGGACACTCTAGTGGAGAATAATAGTAGAATTTCAATAACTGACCACTTATTATGGAAGTTAGAATAAATTAAAAAGTGAATAATTTTATTTTATTATTTAAATTCTTCATATCAATGATGATTTATCTTTGATGGAGCTTTCAGAAAACTCTCTTAATTTATATAGTTCATTTTCCCCTCCAAAGTGTCATAAATGAATTCCTTATCTATTTTTTCAATTGTGTCTTGTTTCTATTAGTTTTTTCGAACACCTTGAGTAGGGAGATTCTTTTTCGATTGCATATATTAACTTGATTCTTTGAAAGGACGAATGAAACTAAAATAAATGGATAGATGTAATACCTTTGGGTTAATTCCATCTCAGAATTTTCAATGATTGTCGAGAGACTTCGTTATTACTGAAATTGATTTCTGGGCTTGGTTTCATCTTTGCATTTCATCTTGATAAACCAATGATGATTCAAACATTAAGCAGATGTGAATCTTTGAGTTGGTTCTCTGTTTAACATTTTTTTCATCATATCCATCCCAGATTAAGATAGATTCTTGCATAATCTCTTTTCAGCTTTAAAGTCTATTTCACATCTTTCGTTTGCCCTTAAAATTTCATCCTAATCCAATCCTTCAAAGGGCATTTTTCCGAAAACTAAAATGTAAAATACAATTCCAAGACTGAACACATCAATTTTCTAATCATAATTCCTAGATCTAAATATTTCAGGAGCCACATAGCCTGGAGTTCCGCATTTCTTATAACTGCCTTAATTTTGACCATTTAATTTAAATGATTCCGAATAACAAAAATTCGACAGTAAAACAAATGGCAACCTTTTGTTTTCTGGCACGAATAAATTCTCCAATTTGATATCCCTATGAAACACCCCTCTCTGATGCATATGTGTTATGGCTCCTATCAATCCATACATCATGTCAGCCAATACTTTTTCCTCCACCTAACCGCCCACTTCCTAAGCTAATTGAGTTTCTCTTAAATGCTACCTTAGATCTCCACCCATATATGGATCGAAAACTTAATAGATATTCATCTCATCTTCATATATTTCAATCAGCCTCATCAATTAAGGATGGCTATAGCTTTACACATTATTGTTACTTTAATCTTCTTAAATGCATTAACTCTTTGAACATCATACTCTTCTGTTGCGGTTACATTTCTTTGTTTATAATTTTAACTAAATAGTATTATGCATCTGACAATCTAACACAATTAAAGCACACTTGTTAAAATATTGGATCATTATATCTTAACTATGCTATCACCCTGTATTTTCTAGTAAATTTTTCCAGTATGCAAAATCTTTTCAACATCATAAACCACTTCTTAAACTAATCTAACACATCCGTCACAAAAAAAGCCAAGTATTATCCCATTTGTAATCTGAACCCATATTTATAAGAAGGATATTAAGCATCATAATGGTTAAACTTTTTCAAAAAACAGCCCCTTAAATAACAGCAATCAGTCTGATCTCCAATAAAACGAAACATTCGATCAGGTTAGAGTTCGAATAAATAACTTTCCCAAGAGTCATTTTCATTTTTAAATAAAAGTTAACCTTATAATATAGTTAATTGAGATTCTCTAGGACTATTATCTGGTTGCCAGAACACTGATATGCTCGGAAGGGTTTCTGCGAACACGCTCTAAAATGAGACTACTCTCATATTATTTTATGTTCTATTATTGTTTCTTCTCATTATAAATAATTATTAATTTAAAATCTCAATTTACATCCCTTAAGAATATTTCATTACACGATTTCCATTCCACAACACTCAGCTATTAGAAACAACTCACTATAGAACCCACCTTCCCAATCCTTATTTCTTTAGAACAACGACAAACCGCCTTCCAATTCTCAAATTTAGACTTCTAAAATTAGATTTAGGAAAAGCTATTGTAAGAGCTTTCTTGGATTAAATTCACCCTTTCCCTAATTTTCAACAAATAAATTAAATATTATAGGTTATCTATATATAATAAATAAACTTTTCAATTTCAGGTTTAGCATAAAGCCAAAGAATGGTATTCTCCACAAGAAACTTAAATTACATCCTAAAGATCCAACTTAATAGGCCTATATATAGAAATATTTAATACTATTCAATGAATCTGTTTTTATCTCCCAAACCCAGCTGGTCAAAAAAGTTGAAACCCCACCCCCAGACTTATTTACAAGAAGATATTGCTAAACAATGTCTTTTACCCACACTTATCTACTTGATTTTAGATAACCCTTCTATTTGTTTTGGCGTTTGTAAGAATGCTGGAATGGTGGACATCAAATGCCCTAAATTTCCATTGCTTTTCTTCCCACAACTAAAAACGTCGCCATTGTTATTAATGAATAGTGTGATATCCTCTCCACACACAACATCAACGGCTTTCATTTCTAATTATAAATTCAAGTAACAATCAGAATTAATTTTATTTCCCAGCTACCCCTATTATCCATTCCCAGTTGTAAACACTATCCCATCCTGTCTAATAAATGCTGAATGGTTAGTTCCTAGCGATATTTTACTTACTTTGATTCCAGTGCTTGTTGGAACATTATAGTTTTTTTTCTCTTCTAACCCAAGTCTATAATCTATATTGGATCCCCAACTATAAAATAGGTTGTCTTTATTGATTGCTGCTGAGTGGGACCTACTAGCCTCTATATATATAATCTTATCCAAAATTTTAATAGGTTCATCCGAATTAAAGTAAGATTCATTTCCTAATTGTCCTTCATCTCCGATTCCCCAAGAAAATACTTATCCTAATGAATCTAAAATCAAAGTATGTTGACATCCACAAGCCACTTGAATAATATTATTAAATTAAGGCTGCTTTTGAGGGGTTAAATCGTAATTCTTCCCCCAAATTAATAATTATTATTCTATATTAATTGCAGCAGAATGATAGTATCCACATGATATGGATTATAGATTTTAAATTTATATTTTATATGGTATTGGCTAACTGGCTAAAGAACCAGTTCCAAGTCGACCATCTTTCCCAGATCCCCAAACAAATAATGCAGTTTTATCTCTTTCTGTAAATTTTGGTGTATTTGTAGATTATCTAATATTAGGATTAATAATATTAGTAATATTCTATAATTATTGTTATTATTATTATTATTATTATTATTATTATTATTATTATTATTTATTACTATTTAAAGAATAACGAGAATCATTAAGATTTTTTGAGACATTGTTAAATGCTTATTATAACACTTAAGTTTTTTTGTTAAATTGTTCATTTAATTAGAATTTACACTATTTCATCCAATTATATTCATTATTAACTATTTCAAAATACTTTTTCAAACTTTTATCATCAAATATCTTCTAATTTTGATATGATAGTTCTCCTATATTCTAAACCACTGATGTTATTTCATTTAGCTTATTTTATAATGCATTCATAGCTTCTTGGAAGGCAGACTCTAAAATCGGCATTAATTATTAGGTTTAATAAGATTAAAAGTCAGATTGTGGATTCAAAATTGACTAAACATAGACGTTGTTGAAAATTGATTCTTCCTACAATTATTTATTAATCAATTCTTTAAATTACTACACAAATACTTTTTGTGTTTAATTACTCAGAGGATTGTTTAGTCCCTTAGGTAAATTGCAGTCCTAACACATTTGCATAATCTAATTGTATAAGGATTGAATTAACTATTTATGCTATTGATTATAAACTTCTTTAAGGATATTTGTATCCTCAATAAACTTTTATTTATCTTGGACTTGTAAAGCTATGTATTAAATGAAAACATCTATTATTTAATCAAAGGTGTTATTGGATTACTATTATTGCAACTATATTTTTAGCTAGTCCCTTTCTACTTTTAAATCACTTAATTCCTTCTATAATGCCTCTATAAGTCCAGCCTTGCTCAAAGATTCTTACTTAAAAATTTTGTTTTCAACCTTCTTTGCTCTCTATGCAAACCTTAATGTGGACAGAGTTTAATAAAAGTTCATAGAAGCAGGAGACAAAGTACAAATAATGGTAGTATATGAATTCCCACCCAAAGAATTTTGTAGATACCGAGTGAGTTTTGAATCTCTATAGGGAATGTGTGATTTTTTGCCTTCAGCAAGTTTGTTAATTACATTGCTCAAAACAAACAAACTTTTATTGATATATGCTGTTTCATCCGAGGCATCCTCTTCGTTTAGTCTTTCACTACCAGCTAAATCAACAAGACTTAAAGTTGAAGTGTGCGATTCGTGTTAAACTAATATTTGAAATATTGTGTGAGATCTCGAAGAATGCTCATGAATTTATCTTTCTCTATACATACGCTATTCTTCTCCATCGCATAACAAAGACAAGGCATCATCGAAATTCTCCACCTGCTAAATTCTCAACTAATTAACAAAGGCTTGTCCATTAATGTCCTACATTTTTAGGTTTGTGGCACCTTACTATAATAGGTCATTTATCTATTAATTATATAATTTTGAACTTGTTCATTGTATATTTCAATATAACTAATAGCGATTGGCAATTAACATTCCTTAAATAAATCAAGTAACGTGTATGGCAATAACCCAGGGTTCTCTTAATCTCCAAGCATGGTGTAAGTTTTACCAGAGGTAGTTTATCCATAGAGAAAGAGACTAGAATTGAATCCTTATAAAGTGTAGTTCAAAAGCTATTTGCAATGGTTATAAATATCTTCATTTTTGTCGTCATTTGAAAAGATCTTGTCTATATTAAACAAGGAAATATACCAAAAGTGAATTGGTAATTATAGAATGCATCGGCATATCTTCTAGTTGTTTGAGGGTCTCTAGGTAGCGATATAATAGTGTTTGTTTCTTTTTAGATCTTCCAAGCTTCTTCATCTTCATTTTGAAGAGGAGGTCTCATTCTTACAAAAATTTTGATTGCTTCGTTCATATGAACTAAGTGTAGTCAAATTCAAATTTTTAATAATTATCTGTAAAAATTTATTAACAAGGTAAAAATGTGTTTTTGAAAAAGCATACAGTTCGGAGTAATTGTCAGAAGATTCTATTTAATACATTCAAAAATTATAGATAATTTCATTAATATTAAATTAATCTTTATGACATGTAAAAATAGTAACAAAGCAAAAATTACATTTATTTATGATGATAATTTACGAATAATTAAATAGGATTCCTTTATTTTTGATATTCTTCTAAGATTAAATACAATTATAAGTGGGAACTCTAAACCTTACAATTAAATAAGACAATATTTTGATTTAAATTGTTAATCTTTATATTAGAATAATTTACAGTGTTAGATGAATCATTTCAAAAATAGTATAAAAAATGCTCAGTTAATTCTAATATAACAACATTGATGTGATGTTAATTACTAGTTTCTGAGTTACTCAATAGGAAATTATATCTAAAAGTCTTTTTTTAACTTAAAATCTAAATAAAAAATATGTTAATAATGGCTATGAAGCAATAAAAATACAGATGATTTAAAGTTTACAAAATCAAAGTTAAGTAAATTTATAGAAATCAAAATTTAGTTAAATTATAGAAAAATCATGATTTGTTTCTCTTTTCATCTTTTAAAACTTACACTCTCCAGCTTTCAGAAAACTCATTAAATTTCATCATGAATTCTTAATGAAATCCAATTCCATCTTGATCTGGAATTTTCAATTTATTCAGATTTTATTATTAAATTTACTGTTAGATTTTTTTTTATTGTTGTTATTACTATAACTATTATAATTATTGCAATTTTTGCTGTTATTAATTGCATTTAGATAAATCTATCTTCATTTTGACGGAACTTTTACTCTCTGTAGCATAATTACTATTTTGATTCCTGTTTTCAAACCTTCTAATACTTTCTATGATGCTTTCATCATCTAGTCTTCCATTATATTAAAAACTAGATTCATCTGAATCATTTACAACTGAATTATCAGCATCATGAAAACTTCTTTCAATCTTGGGGATCAGCCATCTAAGTGTAAAAATGAAAATAATTACTTTTTTTCTCGAGTAGATTAATTTTATTGTTCAGACAAAGAGTCATCATTCAAAACTTCTTCATTATAAATCTTCTCTATATCAATTCCAGTTCTGCGAATTGCCAATACTAATTTAATTAATTTTTATTCTTTTTCAGACATTTCTTAAATTTTTTGTTACATTAGGATTGTCATTTCTTTCAACTATGGAGTACTGGCAGAATCAAGGTCCATTTATTTTTTATCTGATTTAAAGGGAGAGGGTCTCTCTTTTTCTAAGGTTTATTTTAATTGAGAAACTGTTTCTAAGAGAATATCTCTCTCTTACTCAAGAGATCTAAAGTTATTTTACCAAATATCTCTTTCCCTTCTCATTTACTCGATTAGTTCATTTAATTTTAAATCCTATTCATAAACCATCAGAATTGCAGAATTTTATAATAATTCAAATAGATTGTTTGATATTGACATAATGATGTCTGACCACTATTGTTCTATTTCTCTCACTTAGACTTACAACTAATTGAACACACTCTTAAATTAAATTGGAGTTCTAGCAAATTGTTTAATAAAAAGATCTTTAAATGGATCCCATAAACCTCTCTACTTCAAATACTACTATTTTTTTTGTTATTCCAGTGTGGAACCTTGAATCTGTTTGTCTAGATTTAATAATTAATCTATCAATTCCTTCGATTGACTAACCTATTAGGATTAAGCCCTTTTTTGCATCAATGTTTTTTCTCTTAACATATTCAATTGATTAATATCGATATCTACTGATTTTTTGTAGGCTGATTTATTCTGTCTTCCTCCTGGACTGGATGAATCACAAGTTAAGTTGGATTTGGAACTAAAAAGGATCAACATTCAAATGCTTACACAAATAGATTGGTAGAATATGCCTATGAATCACCTATTATTTTCTTCAATTTCAGGGCATTCTATGAACTATACATGGAATCATCTTCTAATTGATTGCTTGTAAAGCCTGAAATACGACTTTTTGAACTACTATTTGTGCGATTATTTAATTCAGACAGATTATTTTTATTGACCTTGCATCTCTTCTCTTCAATAGATTTAGATATTGTTGGCTAGGGTTTGAAGCGTTGATGACAATATTTTTAAGGAATGTGAAATAATTAACTAGATTCGGGTATGCTAACAGTCTTAATCATATATGAATTTGCATACAGGTTGAGATTATTATTTTTTATAATCCTGAGTTGAAGTTTTGGAGGCTGTTTCTTTGACGCTATTAGGAGTTGTTCTCATGTATTCAAAGTCCGATAAATTTAATTAAATTAACAAATGTTTTATTCTGTTTTATTTTTTCATAGCACTCACAATTCTAACTTAAAGTAGGTTTTAGGGAATACAAAATTTAATACGAAGAAATTTGTAACTTCTACAACAGATTTGTACTAATGAATTAATCAATTTAAAGAATGAACCTAATCAAATTAACTACCTATTTAATTTTATTGAAATAGTAAGTACTATTGTTAAATTATTTCAATAAACTGACTTATGGATTTTAATGAGAGAGATGCAAAACAAATTATTAGATAAATCTCAGTCTATATTATTAAAAATAAAAATTGAATCAGTGAATTATAAATACTTTCAATAATTAAGGCAATGTAAAATGATTTTATATTCATCTTACTACTTAACCAAATCCAACATGCTTGTAATGTTTTGACTTTAAGTAAATCATTTTAGACTTTCTTGGTCATTACTAATATCAATATAAAAAAAGAATATACAATATTAATAATCATTAAGTGACTGAATTCTTTTGAAATCCTTTATTTATCATATAACAACCTTATTTCTATTATTTCCTATTCCAAACTGAAGACTTTGATTAAATTTTGGAGTTGAATTTGGAGATTCTTGATTTTTCGGAATGAACATCTTCACACTCATCAAAACAAATTCTTAGTCTTTTGAGATATCAATCGATCGATATAATTGAATCTATTGTTTAGAATCAGTCATGGGTAAAGATTCAATGCACAGTTTTCTCTTTGATTTCAAAGTTGAGTTTGACTGACTTTGTATATGAAGCATATTTTATGATTGTTTTTTATTCTGTTTCTAACCGACACAGCCCATTTGTTATATATATAATAATAAAAATAATAATGATGTCTAGAGATTAAATCTAGGTCCTCTTTCTATATTTAATAATCCATCACAAAATAATAATACTAATTAAATATTTACACAATTCATTTTCTTCTTGATTTATAATTAATTATTAATTACCAATTCAATTACTGAAGTATAAAATTATATTATTTGAATTTTGTCTTCTTAATTCTGTAATTGCAATTGAAATTACAAAGCACCACATTTCCTTTTGTTTTCATAATAAAAATCAATGAGTGATTGTTAAAAATATTCAATATAAACTTCAAATCTCTAATTAAAATAACAATATTCAATAAAGTGTTCAAATTCTTCATCTCACACAATTTTTTTCTATTCATCCGAGATAACCTTTCAGAGGATTACAAAGCTGTTGAATATAGAATTATATTAATATGTTCATAATATTATTTTAAACTTTATTATTAATAATATTATCAATCCACCTCAGATTATGATTTTCAGTTTGTTAATCTTTTTTACTTTAACTTTTAAACCATGTTTACAAGTCTATAATCTGTCAGATATTTAGAGAAGCGTAGTCTTGTTCCAATTTTAATTTTATTTGCCCTTAAATTTATTAATTATATTTACTAGAAGATTGTAACTTCATAATTATTATGAGCCAAATAATTATCAAAAGCATACATAACATCAAAATTATCTATACCAAAAGATTTGTTTGCATAAACAGGTATCTAATGTTATTTTACATTTTAAATATACTTCTTAAGCACTAAATGGAGAGAAACTGGAAGCAACATTTGACAATTTTGATCCTCTCCTTGTGATGGATTTTCTGAAAGGATTCATGAAATTTTGATTCTTATTTTCTTCCTAATTAAAGTTATCTAATTAACGAGATTGTTGCTATATTTTTTGAGGGATTGAAAAACTAGACTTCTTTAGATATTGCGATTGATTGAGATTAGGTTTGTATTAATGATTAGTTAGGGATCTTGAGGAGTTTAATCTTTAACTAACAACTTCAGGATGAAGATATATACTATTCATAGAGCTTTATTATCTGTAGGATCCAGAACCCAAGCGTTAAAGTCTGCTTTGATTCTAATCATGCATTTGGGATTCAAAATTATTATTAAATGTTAACTTTGGATCATTGTATTTTCTGATGAATTTATCTTCCATCAAGTTTTCCTCGTTCACATCATTTTAAACTTGTTTGTATCTTGATTCTTAATCATTATGTGAATCTGAATCCTCATTCTCCATGATGATATTGAGCGACTTGTCAGTCATATCCTTATTCGAGGCAACACCCCCTTACGATCCAAACCCGGCTGTATTGAACGTCCTTTTCTGTTCAACTGTTCTAACTTTTGATACGAAATCAAATTCTTAACTGTTATCATGAATATATTAAAATTCATTATTCTAGTCCACATTTACTCTAATATAGATATATATTTATACTGCACATCATTATTATATATAGACTACTAATCAAAGCCAGATTGTTATTTTAAGAAGGATGTAGATTTGATAAATGACTTTTCTTTGCTTACTTTGCTAAATTAACTAAAGTATGAATCTCTGATGTGATTGTCATCAATTGGAATTTATGTTTAACTTTGTGAGGCATTATAAACATAATCTTCAACCAAATTTTAGAATGCGTTTTCAAATTCAAAGGCTTGTCTATAAAAGTTGTACGCCTTTACATCCTTATTCTTTTTTCTTCTATCTTAAAAATATTGTATATATATTGTACAATCTCTTCTCACTTATTTATGAGGAAACGCATATTTTTTTAAAATGAAACCTAAATCAGGTTTGTAGGTTAAATAGGGGCAACTGGTTATTACATGTTAGTGGGAATTACAACAAATACATTCTTAGGGTAGTTTTTCATTAAAAAGTATCAAATCTCGTTGTTCATAAAAGAATTGCTAAGATTAATTTCTTCAAAGTTACTTTTTCATTGAAGTTCAACTGAGATAAAAAGGTTGATCTCTAAATTTTAATGAGTCTTGTAGTTCCATCAGTGATTGCAGTGAAATCCCTTGGATTTTCTGTGTAAAAAGATAGTTCTCCAAAAACAGCAAATTATGTTAATGTGAATACTATAATATCTGTTCTTGATTTCAAATGCACAGAACCTTCTAAAATAACATATAGAGAACAATCATCAGTTGCTCCTTCCTAAAATATATTTTGATTTGGTTAATAGACTATCTCAATGCATTTATCAATAATTTACTTCAATGTTGCGTTATTTAAATATTTAAAATATTAACTCAGTAGCTTATATCTTTAAACTATATTATATTCTTTAAGCAATTTATTTGAAAGTTTGTCACTAACTTCCTTATTACAAAACTTAGGTTGATTTTCTAAATGACTTCTTATTTTTAGTTTCAAAATTGAATCCAATTTATTCTGAGTAAAAAAATAACTCAATTAAGAGGATTTTTGTTCTGGTTTAAAAAGATCAATTAAAATAGACAGCTAGTATGCAAAGCAATAAAATGATAAAATAGAGATACAACAATATGCTATTATTTTATTATTGTCATTTAAATTATTGTAATCTGAGTTGAAAGTTATCATGCTTACAATTAGTTAAAATGAATTCAAATATCTTTAGGAGAAGCTTTCTTCAGCATCATTTTCATTTTCTAAATGATAAATCCAAAAACATGTAATAATATGAATGTATATAAATTATTCTATTATTAGCAATATTACTTTTTGATACGCCTTAAAAATATCAAATTCACTAACCATTAATGCCAATAATTACAATTAAATATTCTGATGCAGATCCATAAATCTTGGAAATGTGCTTAAGATATTTATTAAGAGAATAATCCAATTAAATTTCTCCGCATTCATTATTAATATCATCGTTATTAAAAATATCTATGTATTATTGAAATGCTTACATTATCAAAGATGAAATATTTTTGGAAATACTGTTTCAAAATTATACTGATGTTACTCTCAATTTCTCCCTTAATAGCCACGGCGCTACACGCTTTTAAGCAGCAGTCTACTATTTTCAATATTAGAAATGCCACTTGATGAGATTTCTCGCTGATAGGAATTACAAGCAAATATACATATAGCAAGAGATAATAAAATATGTTCCAAATTTTTAAAATTACAGAGTTTGGAAGTAGAACATCTTGAATTTTCATATAAAATTATACATTATCTTTAGAAACCCAATTAATCCAAATCGAATAAGTGTTTGAACTTCATAATTCTGTAATTCGTTTTGATTGTTTTACTTAATACATCTATGAATTTTTGTTTCAATTTTATTGGCTTGGTTTAAGACAACACCTTTGTTAATGTATTATGCCTCGCACTTGAAAATAATTAGAAGCTACTTTCTTCAAAGTTACAAGACAATTTATCATTAGAAATCTTAAATACCTTGAAAAATAACACCTCTTGATTAGTATGCATAGGGGATAGAGAGAATTTCGATTTTTCAATAGTTTTTACAGTTGGATCTCTAACTGAATGATCATCCTCTGGCTAGTCTGGATGACCTATTGTGAAAGGTGAATACTAAAAGGGGCCTATTTAAGGAATTTATAATACCTTAAAATAGATCATAGTTATTAAAAATTGGTTCTGTTTTTGTAGAAATTACATGATCATTTCTCATTGGATAAGATAATTATTTAATAATTATTTTTATATGATTTTGTGATATTAAGTTGTTATAACTTGGAGATATAAATTATAATCGAGTTGTTTCAAAATAAAATTTCAAATTAATATGACATATCGAATTCAATCAACTAAATTTCTGCGGTTACAAGGAGACACTGTTTTAATCTTGATTTATTGTTATGAGCAATAAATTATTAATTTGAAATTGCGGTAAAATAAAGATAAATTAAATAAGAATTACTAATTGATGAAGAAAATGATATTCAATACTTGCATTTATTTATGTTCTTGTAAATCGATGTTCTTAGTCCTTAGTAAAAGGAGTCACGTGTAGGGATATTAAATTGATTAATAAATTAGAAAGAAAGTAAAATATCATATCAATTTATAGTTATAATTTCTTATATTTAATTCGAAACATTAATCATTAACTCGAGAAATCAATAATAATCTTTATCTATTTGATATTCTCAAAACTTAACACTATTTTGATTAATTTAAGAAAATAAAGAATACTTATAAGAATTAAATACATCTAATATCTAAGCTTTTAATTAATTCAAATTTATGCAATAAACATGATTTATAAATATAAAATGATAATTTAATAAGGTTTAGTTATAATATGTTCTGTACATAAATAAATATCAACTAAAGATATTGTCTAAAAAGGACTTTTTTTCCTTTTATGGCTATGGCTTTTAGGCAGGTAATGGTTTTGCAGGAGGAGACTAATGATTAACATAAGAATTTACATGTCTTCTTGGATGTGATACTGGATGGCCATATGACAATGGAGGAGCATAAGAGACGGGAGCAATTCTGGAAGGGGCAAAATTAGGTTAGACATAGGGAGCATATTAAAATTGGGGTTGTTAGAACACAGGTTGAACAACTGATTAAACTGGAGCGACATATTAAGGAACTTATTGAACCACCGATTAAACAACAGGTTATGCTACTACTTGTTGAACTGGTTGATGAACCACTTGTCTTTCAACTGGATAATATTCTACTCTATCTTAAAATCTATCCACAGGGATATATTCTAAATATGCTAATTAATTAACTACCTGTAACTTTATCATAGAAAACCTAAGGAATGTATTCTGTTTGATATTCAATGGCTTAATATTCTGTTACGTATTTTTCCCTTGGGACCTAGATTCTTTATCTGACTTCTTCATATTCAATAACTGATTTCTCATAAGGGATATATCTAAAATATATTAGACTAAGTTTGCTACTCAATTCTGCTTTCTCCCTTGATGACCTATTAGGCTGGTTAAACAGCGACTGGTTGAACAGCAACTGGTTGAACAGCTACTGGTTGAACAGCTACTGGTTATGGGATGTATTGAACAGGTGAACCAACAAAAGATTGTTAAATTGGTAAATATGAAGGACTTGCAAATCCTGCTGGTGGTGCATAGGTTCTAGGAGGTGAGTAGGCAATTGGATGTTATGGAGCAGGTCGTTAAGCCTATTATGGAGGTCTGGTAGAGGCAGGGTGATTACTCATTTTGAATATTAAAATATTTAATAATTTAAATTGATCGTTAATCATTTTAATTGTTGATATATTAATTATAAAACTTACTAATTAACTTATAGAATTCTCTGAATAAAATAATAGAATAGTATTTATTGGATTCGAATATTTTGATTTAGTAATATTGATTCATAATGTTAAAAATAATTAATCATTTAATTAAAAGATCAATAAATGTAAATTTTATTGTTATTTTTACCCTTATTTATATTTTGTTAGAAGGTAAGAATTTATATTGAAGATGACTAAGATGAATATTTGGTGTATTAAAACGACAAAATTTAATTTGAATTCCAAAAGAAGAATTTAATGTAAGAAGTGACTTGTAAACCTCCGAAATCCTTTGGTGTTAATAGTACAAGTAGTCTCATTGGATATTCAAATCAAACTTTAAGAATATAAAACGATGACATAGTTTCATTCAATGTTGTTGTATAGCAAGCAACAGAAAGGGATACGAGCATGTATTTTATAATATAATTAAGAGAGCTCTATCAACAGAAGTAGTTTCAGAAGATGGAATATTGAAACCTAAAAGTGAAATTAAATTCCTATTATACTAGATGTGCCCTTAAAAGGTCGATTTGACACCTGAAAATTATTGGACTCCTATACTTGTGAATGTTACAATCAATTAAGTAAGCTCAACCAACAAGGATACAATAGAATTTGCTATGATATTTACATGTGATAAAGCATTCAGAGATAAAACATTTGATTGGAGTCTACCTATTTTACTAATCATTACAACCATATTGATTGCATTTTTAGCAAAACACACAAGAATAATTTCGTTTAAATGGAGAGTCAATGGACATGACTTTTAAGGATTTGAAATCGGTTTTATGATTATTGGGATCTATATATTAGCATATGCATCTGGAGCAACAATTGTGATAGCTACTGCTTTTTCAGATTTGATTCGATATTCTTTGATAGTAATTGCTTGCACTATTGGGACTCTTGCCATTTTCTTTCTCTCAACAGAGGTATTCAAATAAACTAAGTTTAGTTGGCCTGTCTATTGAAAGCAAACTCTTTTATTAGAAAATACAATTTAATAATTGCTGCTGTCATTTCTTTATTGATTGGACTGCCTTATTATTTTTGGATGCCTTGGTACTTGAACGACATAATTTCTCTAGCCTTTATTTTCCTTATTGTAAAATTCTTCAGACTCAAGAACTTAAAGACAGCAGCAGCTTTAATGTTTTCTAACATGATATTGGATTCAACTTTTGCTATTTATATTCATTATACACAGGATCTATCTTACAACACTACTGTGTTATAATACTTGAACTGTCCTTTAGAATTACAATTACCTTTGATGAAATTGCAATATGATAAGAATTGCGCTTGGATTTCCCTGTTTAGTCAGGCTGTTCCAGGGTTATTTCTAAGTCTGGCTTACAGAATAGACAGGAGTAAAAGAACATTTACTTATGGTTTGGCAGGGGTGATGTCATTGATAATCTCTGAGGGTTTTTGGGTATTGGCCACAGTGTCAGTGAAACACTCTATTCCCTAGTCCTTATTCACATATCCTATTATGTTGGGTGCTTTAACACTGAATTCAATAAGGAGAGCAGAATTCAGTTCTTATTTGTTTGGAGATTATTTGTTTGATCAAAGTTATTATAGATTAAGGGGAATTAGTTTAGAGGACTGCAAAGAACCTTAGTTTCTTTTAAACATGGAAAGTCTTCCCGACATTAAAACACATCCCACAGATTTATGAAGTAGAAAAGCTATTAATGTGAAATTTTATAATCAAACATTTTTTATTAATATTTTATGGAATTAAATAAATCGAATATAATGGTTGCAACTGATGGATCCCAAGCATCCAAATAAGCTTTCTTTGTACCTTAATTTATTATATTTATTAGTAAGCAGTCGAGTTCTTCGAGTACAAGAACATTTTCAATTAAATTATCGTAGCTCATGTATCTGATGAATCTAAAACCTATCTGCCTTTTGAATTCCAAAGCACAACAATTTATGAGGATTATAAAATCGAACTATTGTCAAGAGTAATTGATTTCCCTTTATTTATTTTTTAGTATCCAGAAGCAAATTACTAATTGGTTTTTCAGGAGAAAGCTTAAGGTTAAGAGAATATTAGAAATTAGATCTTGTCAATAGCAGGAGATTTGAATGTCAGTTATTTGATAGTGGGATTTAATGGGCGAAAGGGAATCAAGTAGGATGTTACTGTCTTGGGACAGACAGTGAGGAACTCAGTTTACAATAGTAAAGTGCCTTTGATAGCAGTTAAGAAACTGTATAAGAGAGATGAAACCAATGGATTCAAGTTCGTAGTTTGCATTGATGGATCTAAGAAATCGTATAAATCATTGGAAAGTGCAGTTGCCTTGTCTTTTGATGAGCGTGATAGTTTGTTGATTTGTTTTGCTCCCACGCCTGATAGGGAGGCGTTTGGAACTACTATTAAGACAAAGGTGGAAGAGTTTATGGCCAAATATCAAAGAAAATGGCAATATAAATAATTGGATCCATCCTACAGGGCTATAGAGAATGTGATTGAAATGATAAACAATTCAGATGATCTTGACTTTGTAGTGTTCGGATCGAATGGATACAGAGCACAATTGGAAAGCAAGACATTTTTTGGTTCAACAGCTGATGAATTATTGAAGAGGGCAAAGGCAAACATTATAATGGTACCTTGAATATAAAATATATATTATAAAGTTAAATATATATATATAATTAAATAACTTCTAATGAAAGAAACAACCTAGTTGAAACCGGTGACATAGAAAAAAAGCAAGAGCAACTTTCTATTGGAAATGAATGAGAAGGATAAAGAAATCAATAATCAGATCATTAAGAACATGAATAAGCGAGTTAATTATCTAAAGAACCCTCGATTCAAAATTAACAAAGCGCCGGTTCTGTTTTCATACATCAATACAAAGCAAGTAAGATTAGTTTGAATTAACTTAGGATATCGTGGTGGAGAAGGATTAGACAACATCCTTTAGAGTATTTCCGAAATAATTGATATTCAGAGAGTACATGTTGAATGGCATGTATGAAATAGATTTGTATGTTACCAATGCCACTGGGACTTTGTAGAGAATCAAAGTGTTACCACCTGAAAAGTGAGTGATTTAACATTATTTTAGAAAGGAGTTTCAGATAGCAGCAATCAAATACCCAACAAAGGAGGATGGATTCATAGCTCCAGGGATGAGTGCAGTATTAAAGGTCAGATTCAATCCATCCTCATTGGCAGAGTTTGATGATACTATTGCCTTAATAACGGAAGATCATATTTTAAAAGTTCCATTATTGGCAAGAAAAGAACCTCCACAACTGGACTTGCCATCATAATTAGATTGTCAGAGTTGTTGGATAGGTGATTAAGTAGAAACAAGATTTGTAGTTAAAAATTCTGGAGGAGAAGCAGGCTATCGTTTTTTTATAAATAATCAATAAGATTAGCAAGAAGAGGAGAATTATATATAGATTGGTAATTTCTACTTATCGCCTGCTGAATTCTTCTTGCATAAAGGAGAAACACAAATCATCTAAGCCATATTTAAACCAGATCTTGAAGGCGAAGTCATTGAAAACATCATTTTGGGATGTGACAATTTGACTCAGGCCACATTAAAATTGATTGGCAGAGGCAACATGGTAGAATTAGGGATCTTAGGGATTGATAACATTAATCTCGAAAATTAAGAGCAATTATAAAAAATATTCTTTAACGATCCCATCCCAAAGGTAGAGACCAGTAGACAATTAAAGATAAGAAATAAAACATCAGTTAAAGTTAAATATCACTGGTATCTACAAAATGATGATAAGGAATTAAAATTAGAAGATGAATAGAACTATTATTCCATCCAACCTCAAGAAGGATATTTTTAACCTAACGAAGTCATAGACTTTAAGATATTTTTACAGAGTGAAGAATATTACCCGCTATTTTAAACTGCCTATTTAATCATTGATGATATTCCATTTGAAAGTATTAGGAATCCACCTCCTAATTTGAGACAGCAATTTGAAACTAATTCATAATCTGTGGCTATTGGATCTAATAGCATTAAACCATCAATCACTTACTTTGAATTTGAATTGATTAGCAAATCTGCACTTGGGGAAGTGAGTGTTACACCTCAATTCTACAAATTTCCTGTTCCTATTTGTGTGAATACATTGGCCTAGTATAAATTTTAGTTGTCAACGACATCTAAAACCTAAATGAAATATTCAATTAATCCCCTTCAATTGGATTATTTCTATATTCAAGAAAAACAAGGTGTCATTAATAATGAAGCTGAGATTGTCTTGGGGGTTCAAAGTTCTGAGGTTGGTCAAATGAAGTTGGAATACAGAATAGACTTTGATTATGCTAATTCTATTTTAATTACAGTCTTTGCTGAAGTCATAGCTCCTATTATATCAGTAAAACAAAGTTGGTTGAATTATGGATTGATTCAAACTTATTCATTGGAGTCATAAGAAATAACTATTAATAATTTGTCACCAGTTCCAGCTCTGATTAAAGCATAGTCTGGATCAGATCAAAGATTATTATTTAATAAGGATTAATTTGAGATCAAACCAAACAGTTCAATATAATTTAAAGTTGAATTTCAATCTCGAGAGGCTGAAACTTATAATGATTTCTTATATTTTTCTGTTGAAAATGGAGATTGTGTTGTTTTAGATGTATTTGCAGAAGTATAAAACCCAAGTGTTTCCTTAAATAGATTATCTCTTAATATTGATACACTGTATTGTGGAAATACCTACACCTTTGATTAAAGAGCATAATAATACATAATGCTATAGAATTTAGGTAATATCAGTACTCCTTTTGAATGGGTGGTTGATAATGAGAAATAAGATAAATACTTAGTCCAATTTGAACCTAAAAAGGGAGTTCTTAAGCCAAAAACAAATTAAATAATTAAATTCTCCATAAAACCTAAAGAAGGTGGTAAATTGAATGAACTCTTCGTTTGTGAAGTGCAAGGCTTGCAATATCCATTGGGATTTGAGATGAATACCATGATTTATGGATTGTCTGTTGAATATGAATTAGTGGATGATAGTGCACACATTTCTTCGAAGACATCAGTCAGTTCAAAATCAAAAAGTCTCAAGGATTCGAGGAAATCACTTTTGAAGGCAGACACTGAAATCAAAAATTAATAAATGGATAAATTAGAATTTTACAATTGTACTATCAACTAGCCAAAACAAGCTAAATTCTTAATTAAGAACACATCTGGTATTCACACATAATTTAATTTATTCATGAGAAAATATCAGCCACATGCATTGGAAGAGTAATCAACTCTGTTTGATGATTTCGATGCTAAATCTTAAGCAGCAAGAACAATCAAATTTGCTGAATCTTCAATTTCTAAATCTGTATCCAAAAAAGGGAAGATCTCCTAAGGAGGTAGACCTGTAGTGCTATTAACAAATAAGATTGAGAAAACACATAATTTTACATCTGAAGCAGGACTGAAATTGAATAAGCAAAAGAAGATGGAGCATGATTAAAGGGTGTATCTGTCTAATAATCTGGGCATTGCAGTTGTATTTGAACCATCCTCTGGTACTTTGAATGCATATGGATCTGTGGTTGTTTAAGTGACAGTGTTCAATGATATTTGTGGATTGTTTGAAGACTTAATGTGTTGCGACATTCGAGGACTGCCTACAAAGGAATTTCCAATTGCAATAGATATTAAAGGATCTCCTATTGTCATTAGTCCCAGTCAACTAGGATTTAATTACAAAACAGATTTCCCTACTTTCGATTTAGGTACTTACATGCGAAACTTTGGAACAATCAGCAGAGATTTCAGAGTGATGAATACAGGTCCTTAGGATGTTGAATTGGAATGGAAAATCTATAATTTAGGAAATAGCACAGTGTCGGATTACTTTGACATTAAAATAACAGAACCACAACTAGGATCGGATTCATTGTGCGATGTTTAATTTATAGCAAATGAGCCTCCAGAATCAACGGATGGTCCATACTAAGTGGTACCAAATAAGGAGAGAATTAAGTAGAGGAAGGAGAAGCATTTCACTTTACATTTCACTACTCAAGACACTGGAAATTATAGTGCTTGTTTGGTAGCCAGGCCAAGACTGATTAATTAGGATAAGACCATAGGCGAAGTTGCTTTCTATGTGAAAAGTGAGACTATCACACCTTACTTGACATTTGATAAGCTTGAAAAGTTGGAGGGAGGGTTTCAGGTTAAGTTTTAGAAATGGTCTAGTGGTTACAATCAAAAGTAGGAGAAGAAGTTGGTTTTAGTCAATAGGTAAAAGTCAAGTTTTGTATGTACATTTGAAATTGAGGGACCATTCAAATTAATTTAGACATCTACGAATTCACCATAGAAATACGAACTTGGTATGAAGACTGAAATTGCTAAAACATTCAATTTAGTAACTGATTCCCATGTGGAATTGCTTGTGAAGTTTGACGGTTATCAGCCTAATGACCCAGTTAATTGGCCTCTTACTTATAAAGTGTATCATCATGGATCAATAAATATCTTTTATGCCAATGGAGACAAACAGTCAATTTAATTGGAAGGGATTCTATTGAGACCCTTTGTCCACTTAAATACCTCTGGGATTGATCAAGTTGAAGGACCTGAAGTATTGGATTTTGGAGATGTTCAGGAGGATAAAACTATTGCTATTTATTTGTCCAATTTATCTTTAGTGCCTGCCTAATGGAAATTGCAGCATTAAAAAAATCCATTAAGGAAAAATATAGTGGAACGAACTATGACTTTGGAGGACAAGGAAGAAATGAAGAAAACCGATGACCCATCTGTGTTTGAATTTTAAATTACAGAAGGTAAGTTGGATGGGCCATCCACTATGGTGCATACTTTACCTCATGCTACATGCTTACCTTATGAAATAACCATTGATGACATAAGAGAGTTAGGTGTATAGCCATTCAAGATTCTCATTAGATTCAAAGTAATTGATGTCTTTTATTTTCTAGCCTACTGCTGAATTGTTGTACAAGTCCAAGTATAGAATTAAAGTTTAGGATGGCCCTAGTGTGGATTTCATTCTCAGAGGCACTGGCAAAGATTTGATCAAAAGAAAAGTATGAACAATTATATAATTTAATGGTTTAATTTATTAATAATAATTAATAATAATAATGGATTTGAATTCAAACCCAGATTTTCCCTCTAACATTTCAACAGATGGGCTGATTCAACTGAAAAGGGAATAAGTGAGAAACTCACAGAGGAAAGAAGACATCTAAAATAAATTGTTGCAAAAAAGACAGCAATACATCTATCAATATGAATAGTTGTATTTGAAACAACAGGAACTCAGAAAAGAGGTGTGTTTATATTGTAATCTTAGGAACTTGCCCTCATATTCAATAAATCGATTGAGTAAGTGAATGATCACTTTTATTTGAATGAAGTGACAGAGGCTTTGGAAATAATGGTAAATTTGGAATCCAAACTTGAAAGCATCACAGACATACCAGAACAATTCTGTGTTAGCTCATTTACGAATGTCTTGAATTAACTGGTGGCTCAATTGTCAGCCAACAATCAATTAGAATTCTTCCTCCTAACCATTTCCTTCGATTCGATTAACATGTCCCTCTTCCCTTAAGAATAGTCAGTGATGAGTGAGTACTTCTCCAAAACCCTTGAATTGCTTAAGAAGGAGAAGCACAGACATGCATAACACTTCCTTATCAAACTATACTAAAATAGCCCATAATGGTTTGAAGCAGTACTCTTTTAAGAATTCTGTTCAGTCAGTAAGAAACTATTTGAATTATTACTCAAACACATTGATAATCAAATAGTTTGGGTAATTCTGTCCTCGTTGAAGATTGTGCCCTATGATAACTTGATATTTTCAACCATCCTCAAAAACATTACCAATAAAAATGCCTTCCTCCTCTTGAGAAAGACACTCTGCCAAGAGGAATACTAACTCAAATACATCCAATCTAATATCTTCTATCTATTTACCCAAGTATTACAACAAGCAGAAGACAAACAGTACTTCTTAAATGAAGTCATAGACTGCATACTTAGCATTTGTTGTGTAAGACTTTTTAGATATCTTTTAGCTTAAGTTTGAATTATTCGAGAAGGTTATTACTTCAGGTTTGGCTCTTGTGATATCAGCCTAATCGATAAAGGATTTCACTGTTGAGGTACATAACTTATTCTATTCAAGGGTATATAAAACTTATAGAGGATTGTCTATTGGATGTGTAGCAGCAAAAGTGAATTGTTGAATTAAAACATTAGAGAAGGCATATGGTTTTAGAGCATTTTCTTAATCCTTTTACAATAACAATTGAATCATGTAGTCTAAATTAATACTTTGGATATATTGAAATAATAGTTTAAATCTGATTTAGGTTGTCATTTCAAAGAGTTTTTCAGAACTACATATCAAGTGCCAGATAACATATAAACATTGATCGAAAGATACTTATGAATAATTAATATATTTCTACACATATCAAAAATTTAATATTTAATCCTTCATATGTTATTTCTCCATTGTGATCTTTTTTAAGGCTTCCTAGAAATCGGCATCATTAATGAACTCTTATTGTTTCTCAATGGCTATGTATGCGCTTTCATTTGTAATATTTTCCATATCTGCTCCCGAAAATCCATATGCATTCTTGGCTACTACATCGATCATTCCAGATGAAACTTAGTGTTTTTTCTATATAAAACCATCAGTAAATAGATTACATTTTGTAAATGAACCCCCATGATGCCTTTTCTCTCATTTTCTGATGGTAAATTTATCTCTATTTTGATATCGAATCGACCACTTCTCAGAAGAGCTTCATCTAGAATTTAAATTCGATTGGTTGCTGCAATGACCACAATATTCTCATTCTCTTTAAACCCATCCAATTCTGTTAGTAATTAATTTAAAGTACTTACCCTTTCATTATCACCACCAGTTTCAGTTCCAAAATTTTAGTTCTTTCTTTTATATGCAATGCTATCAATTTCATCAATAAAGATGATTGCAGGAGACGATTGTCGTGCCTTTTTGAACAATTCTCTAACTCTCTTAGGACCAGTTCCTACATAGACCTCTATGAATTCTGTTGCTGAGCAGTATAAGAAATTGACATTGCTTTCAGTTGCAGTGGCCTTAGCTAGCATGGTTTTTCCTGTGCCTGGAGGTCCATATATCATGACTCCTCTTCTTAGTCTAGCACCGACATTTCTGTATTTCAAAGGATCTTACAAATATTCAATGATTTATTGAAGTTATTTCTTTGCGTGATCTAATCCATAAATATTCGAAAACTTAACTCCAGTTGATTATGCAAGCATAGATTTATTAGAAAGTCTATTAGAATTAATTAAATGAGATGCAAAAATACCAAATGTATATGATAAGGCTGCTATGCTCATTATTATATACATCATTTGTTTCTCGTTGTAATAGATTTAAGTGGAATTTTAAAATCTTGGAACACCATATTCCCTTGGATTTATAAGAGTGATTCTTACATCAATGCCTTCAATAATTCCTTTCCCTTTATCATGGGCTCAGCCTAGGTCGATAACCATTAGGCTTAATTGACACATCTGAATAAAATATGAGAGCCATCATAAATTACTTCTTCAACCAATTTCTTTTGCAACACTAACATGAAATTGCTTATCTTCACTAGTGGCAAATTAGGTTTAGCTCTGGCTTTATACAAACAAAAAACAGCGATCAACATAGCAGCAGAAGCTGAAACATTCAATTTATCATTAAATTTGCGCATTACTATTTGCATGAATTTTCTAAAATCAACCATATTTAATATATTAAAAAATAATAATAAAAATAAGTTCAAATTATTTGCTTCTAATCTATGGACTTCTGACAATCACTTACATATTAAGATTTGTATTTATAATTATTAAAATAAAATTATTAAATATGAATTTAATAAATTAAAAAATAGTTAAGGCAGGATTTTTGAGTCGATTGGCTTCATCTTATCAATTAGATTGATCATAGTTTGAGGATACCCTTAGACTATAGATCCATAGCGAATTTATTGGAAATTACACAAAGACATGGATCAAAAATAAGTATGCATAAATAGCTAAATTAGGTAATTCTTACAGATGCTATGATTACGACTAGGAGTCAAATAGCTATTGCAAAAAAGGCTTTGCAATCAAATGGAGTTATTTAGAAGAATATAACTGCAGTTAACATAGTTACATGTGAAAAAGTATATCAAAAGTACTTTGTCAATTTCCTAAGGTGAAAGCAATTAATTTGGAGTGGATCATGCATTAAATACTATACAAGATCTACTGTTCCCATGAGAAGGAGACTTTGGAGAGAGATATTTCGGAAAATTAGATCAATAGTGAATATTTATTTTTAAGATTCCTCTTAAAGAATATACAATATTTTATGGTTGAATATTGTTGATATGTTAAAATACAATATTTAGATCAGAGTTTGTCCAAATATTCATTAAGGTCTGGCAATTAGACTTTGATACCCTTTCTCTTTCTGATGGATAAGACTAACTCATTAACCTAAATGATTAATATAAAATAATACTTTGCTTCCAGCTTCAAGTGGGTTACCATTGACAATGGCCCAGTGATCAAAGACACATTGAGGGAAGGCTTGTCCTTAGGTCATACCTCTTAAATGGGCGGTGAAACCGAATGATTCAGCGACTGGTAAATGAGCTCTAACCTATGAAATTAGAATAATTATATTACCACTGAGAGTGGGGTTCCTGCAACTTATTCCTCTTCAATGACTGTTCCTCTTCTGGTGTTGAGACAGTTATATACACCACCAGTAGCATCATTTGGTGCAGTGATTTCAGCCAAGAAGACTGGTTCTTATAATCTTGGTTGTGCTGTCAATTCGCATGCATAATACAATCTTCTGGCAGTTGGGATGATTTAACCACCTCCTCTGTGGATGGCATCAGCATGTAAGACACAATCCAAAATGTTGACTCTGATACCTCTTTGATTTTCTTCGCAAAGTGGTCCTTCCTTGGTTGACCATTACCAAGCTGATTCCATTGATTCTCTCAATTCATTCATATATTAAACTCCTGATGTCTTATCCATCAAGATGTTGGCACCTGAGTTATCTGGTCCAAAGGTCCAGATTCTGAGTGCATCATCCTTATCCCAATCATATTCTTCATTAAGTGCTTTGGCTCTGAGTTTTGGTTCATCTTTTGGTGTGACTTATCCTTTTTCAATAGCATCTGGTAAATTTTCATGTAATGGTGTAGCTTAAGCATAAATTCTGTTGTGCTTATTTGGTGATTTAGACATGCAAACAATGTTTGAAGTAGCAGATACGGTTTCCTTGTATGAGACGATTGGGTCAGATTTGATGAGTTCAATACCTGCAAAGTCTTTTTCTAAATCATTCAAACAGATTTCAACGTGTAATTCACCACATCCGGCAACAACGTTTTATCCTGATTCTTCAGTTGTGCATAACACTAATGGATCTGATTTTGACAATTTCTTTAATCCATCGACTAATTTTGGTAAATCTCCTGGATTCTTTGGTTGGACAGCAACTCTGACGACTGGAGATACTGAATATTTCATTGATCTGATCAAATGGCAATCTGGGTGGTCTGAGATGGTACCAGTCTTCATTAAATATTGATCAACACCGACCAATCCGACTGTGTTACCACATGGAACATCTGGGATGTATTCGACTCTGCTGGCCATCATGAGAACTGTTCTTTAGATATGCTTTTTCAAACAAATCTTCCTTCTTTCCTACTTTGTAGTTGGCTCCCATAATTCTGACCTTTTATCCAGTAGCAATGGTACCAGAGAAAACTCTACCGAAAGCAAAGAATCTTCCTCTATCGGTGGTTGGAACCATCTTGGAGACGTACATAATTAATGGTCCCTTTGGGTTGCATTCTCTCATTGATTAAGCAATAGCATCATCTTATGGTCCTTCATATAAATATGAAGTTCTGTATTTTTAAGCCTTTCTTGGTGATGGTAAATGGCACACAATCATTTCAAGTAATGTAGTCAGCAGCATTAATCCATTTGGACATAACAGCCTTGAGTAAATGCTTTCCTTCTAATTTAGCTTCTTCTTATGTGAGTTTCAATCCCAAAGTTTCAAACATTTTATTAGCTACATCCATATTTTCCTTCCATAACAGCATTAGCCAATTTGCAGATTGGGTCCATGATGAAAGCAACGAAGGCTCTCTTCATAGCTTTTCCTGATCCACTGATGTTGTCTTTTCTCCAGCATTTTTCCTTCAGCATCAAAGTAATTGTCTCCCCACAATCTTTCTTATAATTTGAGTGGTTCAACCTTGAATTTGTTAGCATAGATTCTGGCAAATCTGGTGCATGAGAATGCCCAGCATTCCTTTCCTGAACCAAATGAGACTGATCCGAGTTCTGGATGAACAAGGAGATCACCCATGTCTTCTTATTAATAGGTGTTGATGATGACATTGACCATATCAACGACTCTGACGAAGTTTTAATACATTGTTTCACCATCATGCTTCAATTCCAAGATAGCTCTATCAATTTTGTTAACCATGACAACTGGCTTGATTTTCTCTTGCATAGCTTGTCTCAACACTGTTTCGGTTTAGACACAAACTCCTTCAACACAATCAACGACGACTAAAGCACCGTCTGTAACTCTTAAGGCAGCTGTGACTTCAGAACTGAAATCAACGTGTCCTGGGGAATCGATCAAGTTGATCAAAAACTTTTCTAAGGTCTTATTGTCATAAATGTCATATTCATAATAAAGAGAAACACCAGTTGACTTGATTGTAATACCTCTTTCCTTTTCGTCTTCTCTGGTATCTGTTGCTCTAGCATCACCAGCAACTTTGGAAGCGATAATACCAGCTTTGCATAACAATGAGTCTGTGAGGGTTGATTTACCATGATCAACGTGTGCAATGACAGACATGTTTCTGATGTTGTCTTATTTGTCCATGATCTCTCTGATCTGAT